ACCCATCGTATTTTAGGTGTACCCCAGGGAGCCATGATTTAAACAAAATTAATATTTAATACCTGAAATAACTTCCAGATTATACATGTATATGGCTTATCTTGGCTCTTGTGTCATTCTATTAGATTTCTACTATATATTCCCTTGTAAAATTTTAATCGTGAATTTATTTCACCACATCCAAAACATTGACGCGGTTTCAGAAGATTTATTACGTAAGATTTCTCCTTTTTGGCTTAGCGAGTTTTTAAAAGATCCGGTCCAGTTCTAACTATGTTGTATTTATATCACTCTCACATTGCAAGAACAAAAAAAGTAATTTTTTTTTTTTATAAAAATGCGACTTCAAAAAGACAACGACAAAAGGTCTATTTTCAGAACAATTCACTTAACCCTACGGGTGAGCTAAACATAGATTCAAAGCAAAATTATTCAGAGTTTGTTGTTAATAATGTATTGAAGGTAAGGAAAAATATTTGTGTGATTTATTCAAAACTCAGAATTAAAGAATGAAAATGAACTTCAAGACTCCAAACAGCAATAAAATATATATGTACTCTATCAGTAAGTTCTTAAAAAAAAAAAAAAAAAAAAAAAACGACTCGCGTTGTTTTTTTTTTTATATTATTCAGGGTATGAAAGAAAATATAATTACAAGTTGCGAATCTTTGCTATGATGTTTTTTTAGCTTTTTACTAAATGGTTCCGTATTATCTATTTTTACAATAAAATAAATTTAAAGATTTCTCTTAAAAATAATAGTAGCATTGAATTCTTTGTTTTAAAAAGTAAAACCATTGTAAAAAAATTGAAAAATTGATTGAAATAACAAAATAGAGACAATGTTTAAAATAATTCAAAAATTTTATCAGAAGAAAATTAATGATTTTTTCAAGCACAAAGGCTTTTGTTTTGCTTAGTTACGTGCAATGTGATGGGTTTTTTTCCCTGGAATGAAGGTCTTGTTAGTTTTATTGATGTTTCATAACTCCACTAATTAAATCTCTTTTTAATTAAGACGTGATTGATACCCGTAAGCAGTTGCGTATCACAGGTACCGTTCGTGTTGTTATGGAGGAGTTCTCCTGTTAATTAGTTTCTGAGCAATGAAGAGGACTGTATGCTTGACATTTTGCGTTCTTGCAATTGGTATGTTATACTTGTTTTAATCTAAAACCCCCTTTTTATGGTATAAAAACGTACAGTGATATATGAAAATTTTTAAGAACTTTAAATCATTTATGTAAAATGTGCATACATAAGTAATATCCGGTACAATTATTATCAAAAGAAAAATGATTCAATATACATGTACATTTTATTAAAAGGGATATTTATATACAGGAAAATATAAAGAAAAACAGTGACAAATATTATTGTTTTAAAAATATTTTTGATTTATTGCTTGTCTTGTAGCAATATTCTTGAATAATGTCTTTTACCATTTTATTTTACAGGTGATGTTCAAGGTTTATATGAAACGTACCGTTTCAACAAAGTTCATGTTAACAGTACAACAATATCCTTAATGCAACAATTTCTTCTGTTGAATACTACAAAAGTTTCAAAAATAGCCTGTGCAATTCAATGCTTGGAGATAATGACCTGTCTTTCATACCTTAGTGATGAAAAGTTTAGGTGTGAATTATATTCTGTGAATACTGAAAATGTTTCCGGATTTATATCTGGTACAATAAGAATTTACCAACGACAAGGTGAGTCCTCTTAACATTCTTTATCTGTCCACAAAAAATATCATAGATTTTGATGACATTTGCACCACGGGTGTGTTATGGTACAAACTGGCAGGAATGTTGTCGGAAGTTCCAAACGTGCACTAGTAGACGAATCCATTGAATTTGACCATTTTTGGCACACTTTGACAAAACAAAAACATGAAAATTAAGGAAATGTAAAATATACATATATATCGGTAACTAGTGCACTTGAACAAACATCATTAGATTATAAGATAACATGATTTTTTAGTGTTTATATATAGAAAGAGATATAAAATTATTCCAATTCTAAGAAAAAGGTCCTGCAAACTGATAGTCTGAAAATGTGAAAAAAAAATCAGATTGTAAAGGCTAAATGAGATAATGTGTGCGCAAAAAAAATCCAAATCTTATTGGGGTGGGAGTTTTTACACATTGGGTTGAGTAGTGTCATCTTGTTAAAAATACCATTAGTGTTTCATGCTACATGTATCTGTAAACAAACATAAAAAAAATGATATAGCTAATTTGTAAATATATTTGCAAAATACTTCAAAATAATGCATTTCAAATGAATTCATTTTTTTTATTTTTATTTTGTATGTTCTATTAAGCATCCTGCGAAGATTTTGGATACATCAGTTTACAAACCACAAGGAAGTGTATGAAATTTAACCAGAGTAAGTTGTCCTGGTTGGAGGCAAACATGACCTGTGTTGCTATTGCTGGGAAGCTTTTTGGCATCACAACAGCTGAAATACTGGAAGAAGTGCTTAATTTGATACCTCCCCGAACGGGTATATGAGAGTGTTTTTTTCATGCAGTTATTTCTTGTTATATACTAACTAAACATAAAAGGTTGTAAATAAAAATGTTCTGAGAAAAATGATTCATGTAATGAACTTGCTGACCTCCTCTCTTGATCCAATTAATTGTAAAAAAAAAAGGGGGGGGCTTCGATAACAACCAAACACAAATATTCACATTACTCTCATTTTTTTTGATACGTGTGAATTATGACATATTGGAAAAACATTAAAAAATTGAAACTTTTCATACTGCACAAAAACATCAGAGTTTAATATTGTCAGGAAGACGTGATAAAATTGATTTATATATATTCGTGTTTGATTTCTTCATAGTCATCTTAATGAGCTAATCAAAGGAATCTAGAAATGAGGTCATCTCTCTCTCTTTCTCTCTCTCTCTCTTTCTCTCTCTCTCTCTCTCTCTCTCTCAAAACAAGAAAATTCTTTTCGATTAAAGTTTCCATATCAAATCTTATTTAATGCATTTAAGAGTCATGCAAAGAGAAGTACTGGAATGCAGATATCATGATACGAATTTTAAAGATATCTTTTATCTAATTCGGTGAATGTTCTTTAATCTCCAAATTTCAAGTATCAGCGTAAGTACATATTGTTAAAAAACGTAAAATTATCGCCTGTATTTTTTTTCTGTTTAATTAATCATCTAATTTATCAATCAATAAAAATACTTGATTGAAGCTTTTGATGCTTTAAAATACAACTTAAAACACAATTAAACAATGCTTAACATTCCAGATCAAGGCCTTTTTCTCGTATCATATAAAACGGAAAGCAGTGTAAATGTAACAATGCCCGAGTTTTATCGCTGATTTAAACAAAATTTCATCAAAATACTCAAACGATTGGGCAACAGGTAAACTGCCAATAAATACCAAGCTTAAGGTCATGGGTAAAATTACAATGAATAGAGTTTTACCGTTATAAAACCTTTGACATTCAAACCAAAAAAAAAAAAGAATTAATAGAGACAACAACTCTTAAAGCTTCTTACATGTACTAGTATTAAAATTGTTATATACCTATTCACTTTAAAACAATTACACAAGCAACAATAATTTTTATCTATTTGTTTAGCTTTTTTATTATTTTTTTTTAGCTTTACTTTGATTGTGTATGAAACAAATAATAAATTTTCTCAATTATTAAGAAATTGTAACAATTTTATATGACAATCAAACCTCAACCTTTTTCAGTCTCTTCATAGATTTTTGTTTTATTAATTTATACACTTTTCGTCACTTTTGAATCACATTATTGTGCAGATATTTGAATTGAATGTTAGAAACTATGCAGTTTACACTTATTTATTTAACGTATATAAACATGACTTTAATTAATATGTTACTTTTTTTTACTAAAACCTTAAGCATACCATTATATAAAATTGTATCTTATGTTTAAATGATTTATCACAGATATTTTTATCGACGGAAATGACAACGAACAGGAAGATAACTGGATGTATTTTGAGGGATCTCCGATGTCTTTTTTGCCTTGGGACAGCGGGCAACCTAATGGCGGACAGGAACAAAACTGTTTGCTTGTTCAATCTCGAAAATTTCATGATGCCCCCTGCGAAAATCATCTTGCAAGTTTTGTCTGTGAAAGAAATTTTGTGATTCTGCTTTGAAATGTATAAACCATTTGTATAGTATTTATACATATGTTCAAACCAAATATATGTTTGATACTCATGTTTTGGTTATATGTTCAGTTAAGTTTCTTTTTTTAAAAAAAATGTTCTAGTTCCCATAGTTTCCTTTAAATGTATTTACTATATACATATTCCATGCAACATAAATGAAACATATGTAACATTATACACAATGGTTTGCTTATATTTTAGATAAGTTTAACTTCTTTTTGAATCTTTATTTTAATCTGTGAAGAGTTTAATTTTCATGAACTACCCCATACGGGGGCATCAGTTTTCCACAAACACATCTTTTTTTCTAGACACAAGATCTGACCAGAACAAGACTGTACTCTATCTGTAGAAATAAAGGTCATTAAATATGTGTGTAAACAGTTTTATATGTGTTAATAAATAGTAGAAAAATAAATTTAGTGCTTTATCAATTCCAATATCTTCTCGAGAGATTTGTTTTCATTCTGCTTTATGTCTAACTATTATTTTTTTATAAAATATATTCAAAAGTGTCATTTATAAATGATTTAGCTTGCAATGGACGAATATTGCAATGTTGATCTACTTAACAACGCATTGTTTTCAAGTTATTAAGTGGATGGTTATTTAGTTTTCTATGTTAATCAAATCAATTCAAAAATCTATACCTGATGCCGCAATTGACAGGTTTTTTTTTTTGTTTTCATCAAGAATAGCTTTAAAATGATATAAGAAAGTTACTAAACCCTTGAGAAACAAACTACTGACAATTCTGTCTCTGAGATAACATTATAGGCGACCTCGTTATCAGTGTTAGGGTTTATAATCGACAAGACAATTACCTCACAAGGCCAAACAAACATGTCGTCTTTAAAGGACTTATTTGAGGGGTTGCCTTTGGACCCCCTCCCACCCAAGAGGTATCGAGATGAAACTGTGGCTCACGCACCTGTTAGGACCCCCCACCTAAGTTCTGAGGAGCAGGCGGTAAACATAAATATTTGATATTATATTAGTCCAGACCTCGATTCTGGTTGTGTTCATGTTTGTAAATATGCATTATAAATTATAAGCACTTTTATTGATATTTTAGTCACTGTAATAAGCCAAAATATGATAGAGTCTTAGCGTTGTGTGCAACAAAGCTTTTGCTATGCACTACAGTTGTATACTTACCTTTTATTAAATCAATCTGATCAGAGCATTTTGTAATCGTTTTAAAAACTTCATAGCAAATTAGTTTAGACTATGACAGCAAAACTATTAGTTTCTCAGTTAGTAGGCCTTAGATATAACACGTTTATACTTTCTTAATTCAATTTACAGTTAGCCCTGGAAAATGCCTTGAGATATTTCCCTGCAGAAGTGCATGAAACATTGGCAGAGGAGTTTGCAGATGAACTCAGAAATTATGGACATATCTATATGTACAGGTTTATGCCCGAAACTCAACTGAGGTACTATACTTATTTATCATCAAAGAAAATATAATAAGTTTACAAAATTGCATTGTGGCTTAATTTGAATTTTCATTCTTCAGTTATAACATTTAACCTTGCTTACAAAGCCTATATGGATAATTCAAAATCATACTAGTATATAAAAAGAACGTTTTGAGTTCATTGTTTTAAATCTAATAAATAAATACATTTATCATTTCTACTCATAATTCTTTTTTTAAAATATCTTCTAAGGGGTAATGGCATTTCAGGTGAAAATAATTTCAACAATAATATTAATATTAATTTTACATCATACATTAGAATATTATTATTCCTTTTTCATTAAGAGCATACCCAATAGATGAGATACCAGCACGCACCCGACATGCTGCTGCCATAATTCATATGATTTTGAATAACCTTGACCCCAGTGTAGCCCAGTTTCCGCAGGAGCTTGTAACATATGGAGGAAATGGGCAGGTGTTCTCAAACTGGGCACAGGTAAATATTGTTGATTCCATTTTTGTTCTCTAACGGTTTTTTTTAAAGAAATGGTTTTTATATTTTAATTATATATTAGTGCTTCAAATTTTCCTACCATAAGCATTTCCTGGCATTATTTTTAAGGTAGCCAAAAGGAGATTCAAAAAGTGTTGCCCTTTGATCTTGTCAGTGGAACATTTTTGTACTTATTTTTTAGGAATTTGATTGAGAAAAATTGCCAAAGTTCTACTTATTACGTATTTATCCTTATTCATTTAATTTATACATGCATGTATATGACAGTTTTATAATAATGTTACAATACTTCCTATAAGTATGATCAGATAGTTTTAGAAAATCAGAGCCATTCTAAACAAAAGATAACAGTAAATTATATAATATCATATTCAACATTTTTCGATTTAATATGTATTGATAACATTTTTGGTCATGCTTTTAATGCCACGACAATATCCTTTGGAAAAATCTAAATATTCTGGAGTACCTTTTCTCATTTTAAGCATGCTTAGTGAATCAAAATTCTAAACAAAATTCTGTCTGCTATCCAACCCCATTCACTTTTAATTGTGAATAAGATTTTGTATATATTTTTCCTTGACATAAGAATTTTAGAAAAATTCCAATAGTCCTTCCCAAGTGACCATGTAATTTACAATGAAATGAAAAAGAATTGCAAAGATATGCCCTTCACGCCTTGGATACAGCTTATGACTATTATTTATCTTATAAAAGATCGAATCAGTTAGATTTAAGTTCAGGCTAATTACAAATGGATAGAATACGTGTGTTATTTTAATCTTGCATGAATGTTTTCATATTAGAGGAATATTTTGCTTTGTCTCCCTCACTTCACTGAAGCATGCAAATTGCTATCATGTTAAATTATGAGCTGTACGAGGGTTGATCCAAAAGTTCGTGGAATTTCTTCATATTTTATTTATTTATAGGTGAAATTGGTTGAATATTTCAAATGAGAATATAGACACTTGTTGAATATCTTAAATTAAAAATCATTTAAAATATCTATGATAGTAAGTCTATGGCAGTTGCCATAGAAACGGTTGTTTGGAAATGCGGGGGAGACATTACTGCGTTTATTATCATTTAAATTCTTAATACTTGTAATGAGCATAAAACCGCCCTATGTGGCATATAAAACGAAAAATACGTCATTATTGCGATTGCTTGATCTTTTATAAGCCTTTGTATGGGCGTTTTACTGATTTTTCTGGATAATTAGTTTATTAGTTGGTGATTAATTGTTCACCTTTGAGTTGTGAGACAACGTCAAATTCCGGTCAAGTCACAAGTTTTGTGAAAATCCCGGGATCACTCTATCTTAAATGCTTGTATTATTGACACATGCCGGGGAAAATGCATTTAGTTACTGGTTTTCCAGTGGCATAAGAAATTTAAGGAAAATAGAACGTCCATGGACGTTGATTAAAGATGTGACCGCCTTTAGGAGGCTCTGTTTTAAGTGTTTATCCCCCTAGACAAATTAAAAGCGTTAATAAACGTCTGCTGACGTACTACTTTTGACATTGCTACTGAAATTGGAACATCATATGGAAAGATGGGGAGTATTTTGAAATCAGTGAAAAAAAATGAAGATAAGTCAATGCGAGAGGATATCCAGGCTTTTTTGGAGATAAGGGCAGCATTTTGTAGAATTACGTATTCGAATTGGACATTAGGGTGAGATGCGTCTATAGCGTAACGTGACATATCTAACTTGACGTTACGTTGAATTCTCCCCCGGGTTTCACAACAATCCATTTTCAGAAAGCTCGTGTGACCTTATTGTAATTGGAAAGTTCTGAAATTTTCCAATATTGTTGCATTTGGACTCTAAATTATAAATATACCTATTGTTTGCTTTCATCAAATCACGATAAAATTTTGGAAAGAAATTCCACGAACTTTTGGATCAACCCTCGTATATAGACTGACATAACTTTCATATAAATGTATGATGCATTCGATGATGAATTTTGCTGCCTGCACTCATTTCTGCATTTTATGGACTTTCTTTGCAATACTGAACAAAACATACATGTTTTAGGACACCCCGGTATATGGCATCTTCATTGTATATATAAGCTAGGTCATATGTTTTGAACAGTTCTTATTAATTTTCTGAAATATATAAAGTGTTCAAACTCAAAAGTCCATTAGGTAATACAAAATTGAAGCAGAGCAAACACGGATCTCAAAAACATGAGAAGTTAGATCAGGTGACATGGATGAGTAAGCATCCCATGCAGACCGGTCACACCCGCTGTGTGTTCCTTGTCATGATCGGGAAATAATGGGGAAGCTGTCAACCATTCAGACTGTGTATAATGGGTTAACAATTAGTATGAAAAACATCAGTGAGCATTTGACCCATGATCAATTGTGTTTGCTGACAAGGTCATTGTATCGACCATATAGTACGTACGAAATGACTTTAAACAAGACCGCTGATATTCTTGTTAAATATTAACTTGTTTGCCAAAATTTACTTTCTTCGTTTTAGAAATTGTTTATACGTAGAGCATGCTTTTGACTATCGAATCAGCTGAGAAATATACATGTAAACCCCGTATGCAGTTGACGACCTATACTGCTGCATAAGTAAGGGAAGTTGATGCATGTAAAGTTAATTTTTTTTTTTTTAAAAATACTAATTATGGTTGAGGTGTTTCTAGTAAATTCACATATATATTATAACGTTTTTCATGCCCGCATCAGTTAGGTCCTTTTCTGGAATCAAACTGAAGGGTGCAACCACAAAGTACTAGTAGATATCATTTCTTATGGTTACATTATGTTTTGATTGAATGTCTGTATGAATGTTCATTTGAAGAAAATAGGGAGGATATTCTGTTTATAATTGTATACCCACAGAACATGAAGAACTTACGAAAAATCCCATTGTTTGTATGTAGTGTATTGTTGTTCTTGTTGTTTTATAAGTTTTAGTTTTACTTTGCGACAGTTTCTGCTGACGATGAAATATCTCTCGGAGATGACGGATGAACAGACCCTGGTCATGTATTCCGGTCACCCTGCAGGACTCTTCCCCAGCTCCTCCTCAGCTCCACGAGTCGTTGTCACCAACGGTATGGTTAGTATAAGAATTCTGTTTTGTATTATATTATTATAAAAAGCACGATGGATTGTTACATGTAGCACTGGAATACTGTTAATCTCCATGCTTTATAGAAATAAACTTTTTCATGTGATTTTGCACAATAGAAACTATAGATTACTTCTTGCTAAAACTCAGAAGTGACCTTTTTCCCTTTCTAGAAGTTATTGATAGATCAAAAGCACTCCAGTCTAATTAAAATAAGATTTTTTTACGCTACTGTATTTTGTTATGGCGCTGAAAGAGAGGTAACAAAATAAGGAGCGTAAAAGATCTAATTCTAATTAGATTGAAATGAAAGCGACGGAACAAAATTGTAGCGTAAAGAATCTTATTTTAATAAGACGGAAAGCACGCAAACATTTAAATAAAGTTTTTTCTGAGACTATAATGTTGGATTTACAATAGAGAATCATATAGGCGGATTGTTGGATCAAGACCTCTTTCTATTTCACATCTTCTAAAAATTGCTTTTCATTTGCAGGAGTTATACTCTGGCCTTAAATCATATGGCAATGTTTAATGCATTGATATAGCTATAGCATGTCCTTGTTCAAGATTCAAAAAGAAGTTACACTTCATATTTTCAGCTGATTTAAATCAATTTCAGGTCATTCCCAATTACTCGTCTCGAGAAATGTATGAAAAGATGTTTGCTCTTGGTGTTTCAATGTAAGTCATGTTCTTATTTTTTTCCAGCCCTAACAAAATAGTACTATAACTGAAACAATAATTTACTATAATTGTATTTACTATAGTTGCTAAACTACAGTAAATCAAAGTTCTTAGTATAGTAAATCAAAGTACTTTTGCTATGAATTTCAGAAAGATATGTACATACAAGATGTTATTATTTAAACTTCTTACAGATATTATGAACTATTTCTAATATTATACATAATTTATAAAACAATTACATCATTGATATGTACTTTAAGATAAAGTAAGGCTCTTAATCTTCAGGAAAAAAAGTTCTAGGGAAAAGTTTCAGTGGTAAATCAAAGTATTCCCTATAACTAAATTTAGTAAATTATGATAGTTAACTATTATAACGAAGTTTTGCTAAAGTTAGATCATAATAAACTAACGTCTTTCTTTTTATTTTTTTTTTTTTTCTTAAACGTTTTTTCAGTATTAAACATTTCTGTCAAAACAATCATTTTTGAGGCAGGTACGGACAGATGACGGCTGGTAGCTATTGTTACATAGGACCACAGGGAATCGTACACGGAACTACGGTTAGAACACTTCATAGCCTACACTTGCTTGAATGTATTATAAACAGTTTCTTAGGGAAATTAGTTTTCATTTAATTTTATTTCTGTATAGCTGACTGTTTTGAATGCTGCCCGTAAACACCTGGGATGTACGGATATGACAGGAAAGGTATGGAATACTAGTTGCTAAAAGACAACAACTGAAAAAATTTCTGAGACTGTCTGTACGTAACAACAAACATATATAAAGTCTAAAACTAGATAAGATTATATATGTGTGAGACTCTGTCTCTTGTAAATATTTAGAATTTATTTTATGATAAACTAAACATCAAAAATCGGTACTTTTATATGGTACCTACTGTATTGTACATGAATCCGTATGGACAGAACACGAACAGAAAACGATTAAATAATAAATTAAATTCTAGTTTTTTCGGATATATAAATTAAATCTATGGTCTATGAGTTAAATTTACTGTTTCAGGTGTTTGTGTCCTCCGGTCTGGGTGGTATGAGTGGAGCTCAACCAAAGGCTGGAACCATATGTGGCTGTATCAGTGTTGTTGCCGAGGTACAGATATACATAAGTCCAAAACATTTTCTAAGAGCTAGGAAAACTGATACTAAAACACTTAATTGCATACATATTGTAATGTTACATATAGAAAAAAACTCAGTTTCGAATATATTCGTTTTAATTGCCAGTTTCAACCTTTAAAGGGTTCACAATTTTTTTGGTATAATTCCATCAAAATTTTTGTTATTACCACCAGTACTCCGGTCGCAATTTCTTTTCAGTGCTGAAGTTTTAACTTTTTTGTTAGAAATAGCAGTCAGTTCACGATATATCACAGGCTTGTAGAATTATCTATAATGATTTTATTAAAAACATCAATCACTGTAATCATTGATGAAGGTCAGCAAAGAAGCTTTGGAAAAGAGATACAACCAAGGATGGGTGATGAAGACGACAGGGGATTTGACGGAATGTGTCAGTCTCATACGCCAGGCCAAGAAACTGAAGAGGAAATGCAGCATTGGATACCACGGAAATGTGGTGGATTTGTGGTAAATGAAGTTTGACAAAGAGTTTCTTGTACACAAAGAAAATGTAATATAAGGAAAAGAAAGACTTGCAAACAAGACGTGAAAAAATAAGCAATATTCATGAAATCATCCAAAAATCTAAGGGAAAGAAACAGAAAGAAACTTGCAAACATACTAAAAAATAAGCCACCTTCAAGAAATCATCTGAATGAACAATGAAAATTAATATACTTGAAATTAAAATTGCATTAGCAATATATGTAATATTTAACAATTGGTTATACATGTATTACCAAAAATATTATCATATGTATATGAAAACAAATAAACTGTCTGTGAACTCATTATTACAGCTGTACAAAATTAACAGTAATAGATTGCTGTAAATGGATAGCCCATATGTATCTTAGACATACCTAAAAGAATGGCTTATACAGCTCAACGCACTTTTTAAGCTCACATGGTTTTTCGCACAAATTAAGGTCACATTGTTGTAATGAAAATTACCATTTTCGATCTGCAGTACAATGACATAACCCTACGTTATATTACGTATAGAATGTTCAAACATAGATGTCTTTTAAAATTATTATCTTAAGTTCCCAAAGTGGATGTTTTTTAGGGGAATTAATATATAAATGGTACGATGTTTCGACTACCAGTATACGATTCTACCATAGGTTTTTAACAATTTTATAAAACGAACTTACCTTGATACCATGTAGTTGAAATTTTTTTAATTTTCTTCTTAAAGGTGAGTAGTTTTTAAAATTATTTTTTTCATTTACAATATTCCTCTTGGTTTTGTCGAAATGTAGTGCCGAAAAGGGATAACATTGCAAAAGGAAGCCACACTAAAGGGTAGGATTATGAAGTATTGTTTATTTTTTTTAAATAGTAAATTCTTTCTATGAAAAGGAAAATTCCTCTGCATTTACGGTTTAAAAGGTTAGAATTTTGCTGTGGGATGAATCCCTCATGAGTCTAGATTTTAGAACTTTACTATGAAAAATCCCACCTTATTAACATACAAAGCAGTTAAACAGATGAAAAAATACTATTATCACCCCGAGCAAAAGAGAGTCAATATGTACAGAAATTACAAGTTACAGTAGCTAAACTGTGCCCATGCGCATATGTCTACATTTCTGCAAAGAGCTATTGCTTTTAAAAGAACGGATAAAAACAGAGCTGTAATTGGCAAGAGACCACAAAAATTCAAATGAGAGTAGTTGTTATTTTTCAGCCACGCAAATATCAAAGTTCTACCAATTGATATATGTGAATTATGTTTTAATAAATGAAATACCCCCGTTAAATCTCAATTAATGTAAACAAGTACTTTTAAAATGTATTTTTATGCCTCGATATACAATAGTTTATCCTAATAATGTGACCTTAATTTGTGCGAAAAAACATGGGAGCTAAAAGTGCGTTGAGCTGTATATTCTGTATTCTCAGGGAGCGTTTGGTTTCTGAGTACGAGAGTACCGGAGAGTTATTAGTGGATCTTGGGTCAGATCAGACCAGCTGTCACAATCCCTTCCTGGGAGGATATTACCCAGATCAGGTAAATACATGTACCTTTATATTCAATCCACATAAACTGTATGAGATAGCTGGGAAATGCATGTATAGTGGTTATACATAATAATTAAAAAATATACATGTATATCATACGGAGCAACCATCTAAACATAAAATTACACAGATATTATTTGAATACATGTATTGTCATTTATTAGATGATAATAAGTCAAATAATAGATTAAAAAGATTAATGATCGTAAAAAATTTATTTTGTTTTATATGGTTTTAGTTATCCTATGAAGAAGCGAGAGTTGAAATGCATGAAAATCCTGTAAGATTCAAGAACTTGGTTCAGGAAAGGTAACGTGTTTGAAGTAATATCAATTATACTTGCATAACTAAAGTTTGGAATGAGACGTTTGTATTTCATTATCATGAAAAACAAAGCGGTGCAAACTGTAGATCATACAATATCTATATTGTACCTTTATAGCAAATAGATTTGCCTGTAAAAGATTCTCTCTTGGATTATTTTAAGTAAATATAACATAACATGTGAGAAAACTGAATTCAAAACACAACGGGGTTTATATATCTCAGTTGATTCGATACACAAGAGCATGCTCTACGTATGTACAATTTTTAAACTGGGGTAAATTATTGCTAGACAGGTTGATGAAACCAGAATATCAGCATTATCATTTAAAGTCATATAATTCCGTATGTTTTATGGTCGGTACAATGGCCTTGTCAGCAAATGCAATTTATCATTGAGTCAAATGCTGATTGACGTTTTTCATACTAATTGTTAGTCCATTATTTACATACAAAATTGACGACGTTATTTCCCGACAAGGAGCACATGGTGATGTGACCAGTCGGCAGGGAATGCTAACTCCTACATGGCACCTGATCCCACCTCTGATTTTTGGAGGTCCTTGTTTGCTCTGCTCCTATTTCGTATTGTTTTATGGAGTTTTGAGCTTGAATACTGTTCGTTATCTCCATACATTGAAAGACATTAAAGGGGACTGTTGACTTCCTCGTATTCTCAACTTCAATGCCAATAGCTAACTTGTCTCGTTTTAGATATTGTTCATACAAAGGACATAATCTACTAGAGGGCATACACTGTAGATGCAGTGATAATGGTATATTAAAAGCATTTTAGCATGAATATTATAGCTTCTAATACACTGAACAGACTTGTCCTCCTTGTTGCAGTTTAAGACGTCAGGTAGATGCCATCAATAAATTGTCAGCGAGAGGAATGTATTTCTTTGATTATGGAAACGCCTTCCTTCTGGAGGCTGGGCGAGCAGGTATGGTACATATTTTTTTACTCGATCATTTTATTTCCACAATTAAACTGAACATGGCTTTGTTGTTTTTTTTTATTTTTAACTTGATTCCAAACAATTTTGAATTTTTGTACATCTCAACTTTTCCGTGTTTTTATTTTTATTTATTTATTTGGGGGGGGGGGGGGATATCTGACAATCACAAAATAAAAGAAACGCATGCACTATTGTTATGGAGTAAAAAAAATATTTGGAAGAAAAACTAAACGGAACTATATTAAGTCACTGGCGTTTTTTCAAATTAAATTTTGAATTTTGCGGATATAGTTACAATGTACGATGCATAACTTGTTTAATGCATTAACCCTACATATAATTTATCAATTAGCATTTCATATTTTTGAAAGGGGCGGATGTAGGAAAAAAGTCAGGGGTGACAGGAACAACTTTTCGGTACCCTTCATACGTTCAAGACATCATGGGGGACATATTCTCATTGGGGTTCGGTCCGTTCAGGTAGAAATGCCAGGTTGATACATTGTACAAAAACACATTGTCAAGAGAATTCAATATTAGATAGTTAAAAAGTATGATATATAACACGAAACTTGTTTTATAATTGTTACATGTAGTACATTGTGATAAATATTATATTTTTGATATAAATCAAGTGATTTTGATCTTTTAAAGGTGGGTATGCACGTCAGGTAACCCTGGTGATTTAGATACGACAGATGAAATCGCCACTTCTGTTCTAGAGGACATGATAAACAAAGGGGGTAAACAAGTTCTACCGACTCTGTATCACATAAAGCATATAACACGTCAATATAGATTACTGAAACTTATGAAAATTTATGTATAGGTTCTTTTGGGAATTTTTTTAACGATTTTGTCTCAAATACTATTATATATTCAAATGAGTTGAAATTTATACATTTTATTTTGTGTATAAATATCTAGTTCCGTTGAGCACTAAACAGCAGTATGAGGACAACATCAGATGGATAAAGGAAGCTAATCAAAATAAGCTGGTTAGTACTAAAACTTCTAAAGTGATATATTTCCCCACATCTATATCCCTTTCAACAATACATAGATGAAGACTGCTTCGAATTTTTCTTCCAATTTTTATCTTCGCTTGTCAAGGGATTCTGGTCCGCTAAGTACTCTGCTCTCTTCGAGAGAAGCGGATCAGAAACTATTGGCTAAAGAAAATGCTTGAGTTTAAATATAAATTAACATATGCAAATAGCATGAATAGTCAAGAACGCTTTACATTAAAAAGTAATGGTTAACGTGTCTGGCCTGTATATTTATGAGAAAGTCTTCCTATTGACATCATAATTGTACAATGAAGCACAATTAAATTTTCCAACAGGTTGTTGGATCACAAGCCAGAATACTTTACTCAGACCAGAAGGGCAGAACAGAAATAGCTACAGCGTTTAATGAAGCAGTAGGCAGCAAAAAACTAAGGGTAAAGGCGACAGTCAAATAATTCCTGCAGCTTAGTTAAAGTAAAAAATGTTCGCAGCTGAGTCTTCTCATAAATGCGATGCCTTAATGTAGTTGAATTGCAATTATTGAAAGATTTTTGTTAAAGTGAATTAAATGCATGCTCAATAATATATATATATTTGTGTCGCTGCATTAAATTAAAATGAATGAGATATTTAGAAAACGTTTCAACTCCAAATTTGGAACCTTTCATTAAAGGTACTTGGACACAGATTTGAAGTTATTATTTTCTCTATAATATTACGACTTATATATTTTAATAGAATTTCACACAAAAATTAATTAAAAATCTTATTTCTTATAAAAGATATTAAAATTTCAAATTTTTTGGCGGGTTTGATTGACATCCTTGCACTTTCATAAATTGATTTTATTCTTAATCCTTAGGGAAAAGTGGCAGTCTTGTTGTGTATCAATGAAAAATATTAATACTTTAATCCAGAAAATTCAGAGTAGACATGTTCGAAAGCAAAACAAACACGCAATATATTGTCAGTCCGTGCAGTTGTGGTAAGCAGACTATGACGTTTGAACACACCCGTAGAATAATAAACATCAACAATAACAGAATTCGTGCCCTGTTTACAAAAACTGTGTACATAACACAAGTGTGCTCGATTTGCTAAACTCTGTACGCAAATCTTAGTTCGGAATGACGATACTTGTGAAGGAGTTTTTCTTTCTAACATTTTTATTCTGAATAAAATCATTTTTATTGATAAAAGTTTTAATATTTCTCATTAATACACAACAAGATTGTCACTTTTCTTATAAGGAAAAAGAATAAGGTTAAAATTTGTGAAAGTGAGGATGTGTCAATCAAACCCGCCAAAAAATGTGAAGTTTTAATAACTTTTAAATGACATAATATTCTTAATTAATTTTTGTGTGAAATGATATTTAAACCGGTATATAAGTCGTTATATTATAGAGAAAATATTGACTTCAAATCTGTGTCCAAGTACCTTTAAAGCTCGCATAAAAGAATTTGCACAAAGATACATTATTTCAATTTTGTTCTATGTGACGGCAGGGTCCAGTGGTGATCAGTCGTGACCATCATGACGTCAGCGGTACGGACAGTCCATACAGAGAAACTTCCAACATTTATGACGGGTCAGCATTCTGTGCAGGTGGGCCATTTCTTTTATATCGTAATATTTTAATCTGTTATGTGTACATGTATTGTATTAATTTGCTTTCAATTGATTGTATTAAAGGTACTTGGACACAGATTTGAAGTTAATATTTTCTCATTTTTTTCTGTATAATATCACGAATTATATATTTTAATAGCATTTCACACAAAAATTAATTAAAAATCTTATTTCGTTTAAAAGTCATTATTAAAACTTTAAATTTTTTGGCGGGTTTGATTGACACATCCTTACACTTTCACAAAATTTAACTTTATTCTTAATCCTTAGGAAAAGTGGCAATTTTGATGTGTTTTAATGAGAAATATTAAAACTTTTATCAAGAAAAATAATTTTATTCAGAGTAGAAATGTTAGAAAGCAAAACACCTTCACAAGTATCGTCATTCCGAACTAAGAGGTGCGTGCAGAATTTAGCAAATCGAGCACACTCGTGTTATATACACAGTTTTTGTAAACAGGGCTCGAGTTCTGTTATTGTTTATATTTAGAATTCACCGGGTACGTTCAATCGTCACAGTCTGCTTACCACAACTGCACGGACTGACAATATATTGTGTGTTTGTTTTGCTTTCGAACGTGTCTACTCTGAATTTTCTGGATCATTAATATTTTTCATTTATACAAAACGAGATTGCCACTTTTCCTAAGAATTACGAATAAAATTAAATTTGTGAGAGTGCAACGATATGTCAATCAAACCCGCCGAAAAATTTGAAATTTCAATATCTTTTAAACGAAATGATTTTTAATTAATTTTTGTGTGAAATGCTATTAAAATATATGTCGTAATATTATAGAGAAAATAATAACTTCAAATCTGTGTCCAAGTACCTTTAACGCTTATATATGTATTTGTACTACTCCATCAGATATGGCGGTACAGAACTGTATTGGGGATGCTTTCAGAGGAGCCACTTGGGTGGCGCTCCATAATGGTGGGGGTGTAGGATGGTATAAAATCTAAGTATCTCTTTACTTGCATGATTTATTGTCAAAATGATGTTGAAGTGTACAAGTTCTTCTGTTTTTATTTTTACCACCAATATATAATCACTTACGAATAGCAATCAAATAGCGGAAATAACGAAAACTGCTAATAGTTTGTGATGGCTCAAAATAGTTGTTTTTTTTTATTTAGATATGTTTTAAAGGACGAGATAGGGTAAGACCCGTTTTGGCTCCTGGTTGGGGGGGGGGGGGGTCTTTTAGAAAGATGCAACAGTTTATAAATTCAAAACTACTTATCACCCCTTCCACAAAATGAGTATTGGTAGAGGTTACAGGAAGGTTAATTAGAAAATATGTCAATTTCTGATTTTTCCCACTTTTATGCAAATTTTAATCAATTTTACCGCATATTTTCTTTCAGAAAACATAGAGCACAAGCTTGCCTATCTACCAAATTTATATATTTTATACACTAGTGTCAGATGCATCTTTCGTGTAAAAATCTCAGATAGGCAAGAGTGTGCCCTATGTTTTCCGAAGTGAAAAGTATCTCAAATATGACGAAATTCCACCAAAATTGAGCAAATCAGGGGGAAAAAACCTATTTTTGCACCAACTTGTGGCCTACATGTAAGCTTTGAATCAAACATTAGTGCTGATATTAAAACAAGCGTCAATTTTAGTTCTTAACTACAAACTCTCACAGTTTTAACTGCGTTCAGAATTTACATCAAATACGGGGCAAGATTCAGTAGTAACCCTACCTTGCCCTTTGGTTTTTATTAGAGCAAATATATGGTTTTACCATACAAAGATTATTTTTTAGTGTTTCATTAATGCACTTGAACATGTATCCCTGTATTATAGGGGTGAAGTAATCAATGGAGGTTTTGGATTGGTGTTGGACGGATCTAAGGTACAATGTAGTAAAGGAAACACTTTCTGAACTCAAACTACGTAACATTTTTCTGTGAAAAATTCGATCATTTCAATTTCATTTAAAGTATTGAATGTTTATTAAGTTTCATCAAGTAGTTACCCTCTCTATTTATAGGAAGCTGTGGAGAAAGCCAGGAGAATGCTAGCCTGGGATGTCTCAAATGGGGTACATATTTTTCGGCTTGTTTTAATAACTGAACATTTAGTCTAACAAACCTAATGCCATTAAAAATGGACCTTGGTATGTATCAAAACTAAAACTATGTGGTACCCTGTCTCTTTGTCAAATCATAGGTTAATTGTTGATCTTACTTTTATAATGTAAAGTTGGGGTTTTTTTAAGGTAAATCGTAGATGTTGGGCTGGAAATGCAAAGGCTGAGGAGACCATATGTAGAACCATGGAGGAAAACCCAGGACTCAAAGTCACTGTGCCATATCATGTCCAAGACAAGGACCTCCTGAAAAGGGCTCTAAATGACTAGATACATTCACTCTCCTAAAAAGGCTTTAAAGGATTAGTTTCCTTCACTCTCAAAAAAGGGACTAGATCTATTCACACTTGTTATACTTTGTCCATTTTTTGAGGATTTTGTGTTTAATGCCAAAATCAAGTAAAATCAAAAGCTACCAATGTTTTTGTCATTCAGTAAATCATGAAAAAAATTAAATTCATAACCATTGTTGTTAGATTTATTGAACCAGTAAATGCATCCAATATTTTACACTTTTTAAAACAAAATGTTCACAAGTTTGTTTCCTTCATCAGTATTCACTAATTATGCCAAGTTTCTTGGAGACATCATCATACAAATTTGTTAAGTTTTATAATCGTGTCAAACACATGTATCTACAGCAAGAGTACATAATTCTTGCAAAACCTGATCAAAAACTACTCAATGAAATATTTACAAAAATGCCTGATCATTGATCTTGTTCATATACCAGTAATGTGATCTGCATGACTGTATATATAAGCCCAAAAAGCCAACATTGTAAAACACATGGCAATTTTCAACCAGGTGATCAAAAATTCAATTCAGATAAAATTTTAACTAGGTCTTTGCAAAATCTGTTGTGAATTCAGTACAATGTCAATACATTCCTTTTCATGCTTCAGTTCAAGAATAGTTTTAAACTTTCCTCATAAAGCACTCTTTCAAGTCTGACCATTCAGAATAGCATTCTTGTTTGAATCCACTCTCCTCACATCACTTAAGATCACCTGGTAGGTTGGAGTGCTGGCACTGTTTTTCTGAAGTTATTGAAATGTTCCTGATACTGCAGTATTGTATCTGACGGTGTGTACACTGTGTCTGGTTTGTGCTTGAGAATGGACGGAGGGGCATCCGCTGCACTACCCACCAAACTCTGTAGGAGCTCCTTCATCATGTTCCAACAGTCGTTCATGATGACACAAGGGCAATATTCCACCTGTTCAAAGTCAATATCAGATCTGAACTGAACAGATAAACACATTTTGCATCAGTAACACATATAATTTGATTAAAATACAGTTTTCTTATTTCACTAATACATTTATAGATAGGTAAATAGAAAAAGTAAAATATTTATTCTATGTATAAACTTTACATCCTTTTATTATTGAATAAATTTCATTAAGGACAGATGATACAAACAAACTTTTGTCAACTAATATGAAAATAACAACTTGAGTCATGTTCTAATGAGTAAAATGAATAACTTTCACCGCATAGTTTTTAATTATTTATTCAAAATTTTACGAAAATGAGATATGAAGTGAAAAAAAAATTGTATAGATAAATAAGGATAGTTTCAGAGAGACAGAATTAAAAGGTTACAGAAGGTTTACAAATTCTTTATACTCTGGAAATTTTCCATTTGCATCATTTTCAATGAAATTAAGCCAAAAAATATATACCTATCCAGGCATCCATTTTTTGTTAGTATCATCTGTCTTTAAGTTTTAAAATATATTACACAAACAATGTAAATGATACTGAAATTGCATGCATAATCATGTCAACCTAGAAAATTCCAGGAAAGTTAACCACAATCACTAACCTCTACTAAAATTCCTCTGAAATTGGATCCCATAGAAACAGAACCAATCTTGATAATGAAGTCTCCTATTTCATATCTCTGGCCCCTTGACTCAATTTTGAACCCTTTTCTTTGAGAGTAGAAGCTCTCCCTCCCTGCCTTTGCCATGGTTAATTTTGTCATCAAATCCTCGAACAGAAGGTCTGATACCAAAATCTGTCCCGATTCTGTCACAGCAAAACACGAGGCTGGGTGCTCACTGTTATGGAGAATGTTGACGACACACTGCTGGGCTATAGAGTAGAAAATTTGATGTAGCTGACTGGACACAAGATAAATTAGCACAATAAAACATCTCAGTTCGGCATCAATCAAATGCCATTATGTGCATATAGTTTTTCCATACATGTGTGTTTATATATAGATGATAACACTTTTCTTATACAAAATGTATTATTATCTGACACATTTTAATCTTTATTTTAAACTACATTTAATATATATATAAAATCTCTACATGTGCATGTTGATGATAAGTTAATAACTAAGGTTTCTTTTTTTTCTTCCTGAAGTATCTTTACTGTAAAATGGTTATTAGAAGCATCTAAATTATTCATATAAAGCAGCTTTCTCATATTAAGCATAAAACCATGATAATGCTTAGTTTATACTACCAAATATACATAATATCACACATTATCAGCTAAAATCTCTACTTGTGCATGTGCATTATAGCTATGTTCACTTTTTCTTTTCAAAGATATTTAAAAAAACATCCACAATATAAATCATTCATAAACAACATGTTAAAACTTTCTTATTCTAAGTTTAATATTCATGAAAATGCTTATCATTTACCAAATCTACAAAATAATCCACATTATTAACTTGACTAACACACACCTGACTGCATCACATTCTGTGGATTGGACTGGTACGTCTCACAGTCCACCAGGAAGTTACCGGCCTTACTGGCTCCCATCATCTCCACCTGCTTCTGGAGGCCGTCCACCACCTGCTGACCACTCTTACCCTCAGGCACCGGACAGGCAAACACACTGAAATATAAAATACCCATGAAATATACTGTATCCATATGGTTTTATATTTTACAATAAAGATTTAGGTATTCAGTCTTAATTTATTAAAGTGGTTAGTCTGTTAATGTGTATTAAGGTAGGTCACTCGTCAGCTTTTTGGAAAAGTTCACGCAGAATCTCTTACTTCAAAACTATTTATCAAAATTCAATTTTTATAACAGATTTAATTTCAACAATGTTAATGTGTTAACATGCAACAAAAAACTGCTCAAAAACTACAAAGAAGCAAGATTTGTGAGTGACTATTTTTTGTGGTGGAAGGATATTTAGCTGATAATTCTGCAAATCTGCAGATTTATTAAATCTAATATCTTGGACTTTTAGCCCCACATACTCTTACTCAGAGAATATTTTTCATTATGATATTACTAGGAATATTTAATATAGGTCTTAATTTATATTTTTAGAACAAGTTTTACACCTTCCTTCAACAAACTTTGCCAAAAAATGAAGATATGTCAAATAAGTCAATATAAAATCAACACCATTTTTTGCCTGAAAATCACATATTTTGACCAATATTTCAAAATTAACATTACTGACCCCAACTTTTTCTTTCATTATTTTAAAGTACTCGATACTTCTGACTGATCAGCACTTAAGTCATAAAAAGCTTGATTTAAGAAAATGTTTTATTGCCTATTTAGTTTTTAATACCCCAAAATATGTTACTTTTTCGTGCAAAAATGTCACACAATAATTTACGCGCATTAATTTGCAAGATTTTTTCCAAGATAAATATTATTCAAAATATTTTACGTAAAATAAGATTATATTTTTTGCCATGGTTACATCTGATAAAATAAAATAAAGGTTTAAGTAATTAACCAAAGAGTTAAAATTTAAGTGCCAAAAGGTCAACTTCATTGTACCATAGATCAGTAAGATGAACACTGATCCCATATTTTCTCTGTGATTTTGAGTCATTCTATATGAGTACTTATCCAAAATATACTGCTCAAAAAATCCTTGATTTAACAAATTTCACAAGTGACATACCTTAATTTGATGAAAGGTTAATTTCATTTTATGACAGTTCTTAGAAAATAATGGCCCTGCTACCTCTGGTATATGCAGAATATCTCTAACTCGACAGGGCTGTCACAGCACCTTTTGGTACAGGAACCGGGTCCCTCTATATTGGGAAAAATCCTCGACATTTTTGTCAAATTGGGAAAATTATAAACATACTTACATGTATTAACCCCACTGACCCCCCCCCCCCATCAAAATTTTAATCATGAAAGCCATTTATCACTTTAAAAAGTGTACTAGAAAAGCTAAAATTTACAGGACATTAAGTCTGATAAAATCTATATTTAACAGACCAAACATTTTCTTACTAGACGGGATTTTTTTCTTTTATTTTCATATAATGATACAGAGACTGAAAAAAATGTGGGGAGGGAGTTTTTCTTACTGTTTAATAGCACCTTAAATAAATTAAAAATTTAGATTATGAAGAATAACTTTATTTAAAATTTTCCTTTTAAAGGTTAGAATAAAATTGCCTAAAATTTATTTCTTTTTTTCTGGTCATTTGACTCAAGCAGATGAAATAGATAGTCTCCAAGATTTTATTTTAACTTATAATTCACTTTAAAATATATATATCTATTTTATGAACTAATTCATAATGGATATCCTTGTTTAATAATGAAAATAAGTTCCCCAACCCAATCTACGTATGACCTATCTATAGATCTCTATTCCATGACAGAGGAAATTCGAATTAGAAATATACGATCATGACAGGGTTGTTGCAGATTAAAATTAAGCATGCATTGCTGCTAAATGGATTAAATAAAGGATGTATGAGTGGGATATTAGGTCTTATATACGAGAAAACACGTGTTTGGGAAATTTTTATGTATGAAATTGGGAAAATCCAACACTTTGTGCCATTGGGAATGGGTCCAATATTCGGTCCAAATTTGAGGGGAGTGATGGCCCTGCTCGACAACACTGATGTTTTGAGACTGGATATATTGACTGACTTTCACACACTTTCAAATCATGTGACATTTTGCCCCTCTTTGTAGAAATTCATTTACAAATTCTAGAACTATAGAAAATGCTGTAAGGCACTTTCCATTAGAGTAATGACTAATATTGTACAAAGGGTACCAAATGTCACAGGTGATGAAAAATAAAGTCTCAATGGCCAACGGCTACTGGAACCTAGGATCTCTGGCATACCCTGCCTAGTATATAATAACTGTCTAGTGTTGAGCTAGGTGGTGTCATAACAGTATTTCACTTGGGTTCACGTCAAATCATGGCTGACGCAAAATAATCCCGGAATCTCGGCCTTCCAAATTGGGCATTTTGATACAAGACTGGAGCTGAATTTTTTAATGAGATGAAAAACAAAATGTAATTTGTAAACTTCATGTATTGACCAGATTTATTAAAATTTGGGGCGTGCTGATTTTTCTATATACTGTTAAGAGTGGGGAGTGATTAGGCCCTGGACTGGATTTTCAAGCACCTGCTCGACTTCGACCGAAACAAACTTGCGTGCCTTGCTGGATGACTATGTATTTTTTGGTACTAAAATCTTTATAAAGAATGGTTTTACAAGACATGAAAAGGAAACGTCTCAGAAATTTGTTTCAAATTAATTACATCTACTCAAACTTGCGCATTTTTGGTAAGAATACCAGAATTTAATACTGTTGTGACACCTATAGCTTTCAACCCAGTGACTATTAAATTTGTTGTCAATCCCTAAACATGCTAAATGACAGTAAAATACACAATTACACAATTACTGACTTGTGATCCAATGGTGGCCTCCTTTCTATGAAGTCAATAATTTTATTCTATTGTTTGTTGTTTGATAAGTAAACACACTGCAAACCCGAATTTCCTCAAATTAGATTAAATGTTTATGTATTTTATGAAATGACAAAGCAATAACAATAACAGAAATATATTGGCAACTTATTTTACATGTAGTGCAGCTAGTCTGATCATTTAATTTACCATACTACTCCCATTTACGCTATTTTATTCATTTTCCCTCCATCTAGACAGTCCACTGGGTTTGTTGATGATTTGAAAAATGAGAAAACGAAAAAATAAAATATTAAGGTAATTTTTTTTATTATTCCTACTTTGCACAATAAAAAATTGTAAATAAAAAAGCATTTATATCTCTTTTTTTTAATCTGAAGTTTGCATGTTGACAATATCTCTTACTGTTTATTAAATTTATTTCGTTTTCTCAAATTAAGCATCTCTGATTGCGCATGCTAAACGTTTGGAAGCACGCCGGGTTGAGCATCAAATATAAGGGCCACTTTATTGTAAAATTGTCAACAAATACAATGGCGGTGAGTAAAATAGACCCTTTTAAGTCATAAATGAACATATACTATGTAATGGAACCGAGTAACTAGAAACAGTACCTTGAATTTTATGCATTTTTACGATTCAAACTAAGTGTACACATGGGCAGTGTCTATATGCACGACCGTCGTGCACTTACTTTTTCAACGGCTATTCGCACGACCGTCGTGTACATAATTTTTCAGTGACTATTTGCACGACCGTCGTGTTTTATATATATATATATATATATATATACTTATCAGCTGTTCGCACGACCATTATATTTTTTATTATGGCGTTCCTTTTTTCGTCCCCAGTTAAGTTCGGCACGCAGTAATTAAAGCCCAAAAAGCCTTTTGGTAAGAAAACATCGCAAAAACTTTCTCTCATGATGTTAATTTATATAATAAAATGACATATAGGTCCAATGGACAGATCGTTGTAATGTAAATCTGTTTCTTTTAGAACTACCCTTGTATTGTATACATATAAACAAGTCATTTTCATAAAATATTTACTTACTATTTTGGTAGGCCTGGGTTTACCCTTTCCACCTCAACCCTTATCCCAACAATTAACACGAGCCAGGGCGCATTTGATAAGCATTTTCACCTACTCTAGTACTGAATTCTTAATACACTCTTTTATAACCAAAAACTTGTCATAAAACCTTAGTTTTATACTGTTATACACGTGAAATCTCAAATTAAACAATTATGTTGATATTTAAATGTTAATAGTTCCCTTAAAATACTATTTATAAAAATCATCAAGTTTTTATGGAGTATGTAGTAAATAATGACGTATGTATCATATGTATCTTGTTGAACATGTTGAACACACACGTTGAGCAAACGAACACCTTACGATCCGTTATTTTTGGAAGTGCATATTGTCGTTTACTAATTATTGAATTAGAAATTCAATAATGAGTACACGACAATTAATAAAAGACAATATTATTAAGTCATGAATTTGAGCAGGCATATGATACAGCATATATTTTATCTTAAAGTTAATAAATAAATTTTTAAAAAAATGTAATATATTTAAAATATAACGTGAGATGTTTCGCGCTGAAATCGGCGCGAATCGTCCTGGTGCGAACCATCTCAGTGCGAAACAGAATCGGCGCGAGACATCCCGGATTCGTGTAAACAATATTACCGTCGTGTGCATATATATGCGATTGCTATTTGCACGACGGTCGTGTAAATAGATTTTTTTCTAACCTATGTGCACGACGGTCGTGTATATATCTCAGCAATTTGCATTAGCTATTCGCACGACGGTCGTGTAAATAGACTTTCTTTACTATGCGCACGACGGTCGTGTATATATCATCGGCCGTACACATGTTGATGAAAAGAAAGCACTTGCTACATGTATTTTTATCAGGTCGGGATCAGCTGCCCAAATGATCAGGACACTGATTCCACAAATGGAATCAGTCTCTCAAAGCGATACTTATGGTTAAACAGAGAAAGCTTTTCTTGCCCAATCCATTGCATTTACAGTCTTCACGAAAACTTTTCTGAGGCACTAGCCAGTAGGGCTAGTGGATTTGACAGTATTACTAGCCCAAAGAAATTTTTAATAGCCAACGAAGAGTGTGACTAAAATGGGTAGCGAAACCCGGGCCGGGCCGGAATTTCGAAACTGGAAACCGGGTTTTTGACAATAACGAAATAAATACTCGTTCTTTCTTCATGAAATTTACGGACATAGTTTATAATCATACTATTTGCCTTCGCTGAGAGTTTTAACTCAAAATGTTGTGTTTTTCAATGATTATCGCCGATTGTCCTTTTCCAAGTGACTAAAATGGGTAGCGAGCCCGGTTTACTCATTTTGGCGATTTAAACTTAATTTCGGCAACATATTTTAAATTATTTCTGTAGGATCTTTGAAATTAAACTTAAGCTACTTAATACATCTAACTGTTGTAGTATTATCCCGATTATTAAAAAAATATGCATTTTTTAATACCTGGGACGGCCAAAACCGGACACGTTCACCCGGGACAAACCTTTAATTTCCGAAATACTTATCAGAGGATGTAAGCTATCGCTTACGTTTATTCACTTTAATCCTAATGGAAATTGAACACGAACTCAGAATATTCAAATTAATTAAAACCCCCAGCTAATTAATACCTGTTTACCAATTAAGGTAGCTGTGCAGACATTATCATATTTACTGATAATAACTTCAGGAATCTTAATTAGGAATCTTCAAAGCCACATGTGCTGACATTACCCCGGTATTCAATGTCAAATTAATACGTGAACAGCAAGCTAATTGTGCAGAAAAAAAATTGTCAATGATTACTTAAAATATATTTTGACTGTGGTTTGATTTGCATATTTTTAGTATTTTTTTCAATTTATTTTTTTTAGATGTATCAGTCAATGACTATGAAAAAATCTACATTCTTTCTCTGTCAATAATTCGGAATTATTTAGTTTATCCCGGGCAAACGCGTCCGGTTTTGACCTGTCCCGGGTCTTTAAAAAATGACAAAAACCCTAATAATCGACATTTAATTTCATAATGATTGAAAAATTTAACTATTTGAAGTTAATTAATAATCAACCAATAAATGCAGATATCCCATACGTTTTCAATGCATTAAGCTTTAAATCGCCAAAATTAGTAAACTGGGCTCGCTACCCATTTTAGTCACCTGGAAAAGGACAATCGGCGAAAATCATTGAAAAACACAACATTCTGAGTTAAAACTCTCAGCGAAGGCAAATCGTATGGTTATTAAGTATGTCCGTAAATTTCATGAAGAAAGAACGAGTATTTATTTCGTTATTGTCAAAAACCCGGTTTTCAGTCTCGAAATTCCCGGCTCGGCCCGGGTTTCGCTACCCATTTTAGTCACACTCGCCAACGAAAAAAAGAAAGAAATGAAATTGCAGAATTTACTGTTGTATCACTCTATTCCATTTAAATTTCATACTGAATTCCTTTTCTTTTGTATTTCTTCTTCTTAATTATTTTGTTTTTTCCCGTCATTTGAATCATAAATAAATCAGTTATCATTAATAAAGATTAAATTAATTTGAACAAACAATTTTTGTTTTAGCTTTTTGATAATGTACATGTATTGTACATTAGACCCTTTTCTGGTCATTAGACTTCTCTCCCAAAGAAGTAACTTTTTTCCATATTAAATTTTCAGATGTTGTTAATATAAATTTGGATAACAGTTAATAATAGTTAAATCATGTAATCCTTTACTCTTCAATTAAATGAGTAATCAGAATTATTAAATGGGATTTCTGCACGCATTTACCATAAAGGATCGGACAGCGGAAATTCGGATTAGAGAAAAAAGAAGTTCGTTTTTATGGAAAAATAAACTATTTTAAAGTAGTGCTACGTGAATAAGATGAGGGAGTTTTCTGAAGAATAGGACTACAGTGCTTTGATTTTATTTATTGGTTAAGATTTAAAAGCAAAAATTCTGAAAGTACCTGCTTACTTTTCACTAGCCAGTCGGGCTACTTCTGAAACAATTTTTACTAGCCCAGACCAATTTTTACTAGCCTCAAAAATGCCTCAACACATATCAAGACAGAGGATACATCAACTTTTGGTGTGGATTATAGTGTAGGATAAAACTAATATGAGATTCAAGCCTTTTGTTTTCGATTACCTATAATATTTACATTTCCAATGTCTTTGTCCAAAATAAAATTACAAGTACTTATGTACTTAATGTACTTTATTTTCCATCAATATACTGGTTCATCAATAAGTGTAGTTAAAAAAATCATGCACAGGGCATGACAAATGTAGACAAGAAGCTGTGCTTCTAGCACGTGGAATAGTGGAATCAATACCATGTAAAGATAAGGAATAACTGTCAGATTTTTCAATTTCATGACGATGATAAATCGATTGGCTTGCATGATAATTTTAGCCAATCTATTGATCAAATCATGAAATGGAAAAATAAGTCAGTTATTCCTTAATTTAATGATGATAAATCATAATGTATCCTCTGTAGACTCAAATTATCATGAGGTAATTTTTAAGAAATAAGATACTCATGAAAAAATAACTGGAATGAGGTATTAAATTTAGAAATAAGAAAAAAGTCTATCCATTCTCCAAGGCAACTACATCTTTTTAAAATGATTTAATCATTTAAATGATTGATAGATATAATCAGTAATTAAAAAATCTCGGATTCTCATTGAAATTTTTTTTTTAATTAGGCAGGCGGACGGATTTTATTAATCTTCAATTATTCAGATTTTTTGTTGACATGAATTGATGCAGATTTATCTATTTTGTATCATGTATTTATGTATAAATCAATAACCTGACTTGTTTGATATATTTCAGTCTCTTCCTATGAACCCTAAGCCATTCCTTAATGGACTGACAGGTAAACCAGTGATGGTGAAACTAAAGTGGGGAATGGAATACAAAGGCTACTTAGTGTCTGTGGACGGATACATGAACTTACAGGTATAATAATGACTATAGTGTAAGAGCTACTTTCACCAATCTCAAATGAAATATTTCACTTTCCCTGAATTCAATAGTACATGTTGGTAATTCTGACACTTTAGATCTATACATTAGATAGACATACTCTCTAGAAAGAATTATCCCATTAAAGTGATATATGGCGTATTTTTTTTATAAGTTCAGACTAGCAATTAAAAATTAAAAAGGTCTTGATTATATAAAGATAGGGCTTTTCTGTAAATTACACAATCTAAATCAATCATGTTTTGTAGATATCAGAGATTTAAAACAATAACCAATGTATTTCTGACTGGAATAAAAATATCGGACATGATTGCGTCAAATTAACCTTTAGAAACATAGAGATATTAATCAGTGAAAATTAAAAAAAAAAATTCCTGTAAACAGTAAGCATAAGGAATAAATGGATTGAAATGATCTTAATATGGAAAATTAAATTGAAGTACAATATTTTTCAAATGTATACTACATGTGTATGTGCATATTTACTGTATTTCTAGAAACAGGATATTAGTTAAATTACTTATAAATATAATTCATAATTAAATTTTTTTTTCGAATTCTCAGCTTGCCAACACAGAGGAATACATTGATGGGGCCCAGACAGGGAATCTTGGAGAGGTTCTAATTCGCTGTAATAATGTGCTGTATATTCGAGGAGTGGAGGAAGAGGATGAGGAAGGAGAGATGAAGGACTGATCACTTCTCCTCCGTGAGGAAGAGGCAGCAATCCTCGTTCATCATGGTCATCTCATCATGTTCATCATGTGTCATTTCTCACTGACTCTCACATTTTATGTTGTTTTTGTAGATGTCTACAATCATGTTTTTATAAAATTGAAATATAATGATGTAAATATAACACAAGATGTTTTATAGATTTGTTATTATTTTTTGGAGGAGGAAGAATAATGCTTTTTAAATTAAAATGAGGTCAGTTCTTTCAGTACAAGTTCTTGTTATGCCCCTGACCTCCATGCTGAAGCTTTGCACCTGGGAGCTAATGTGGTGCTCTGTAGACCACATGTTGTCTACTCAGTATTCTGATAACCATTTATGTGAGAGATATCAAACTTAATACACTGATATCCCCTGCAAAAATAGGTCACTCTTAGTGTTTTTGAAGTTACAAGGTCAAGGTGAAACTTAACACAATAAGAAACTGTCTGTTTAGTAACTTCAGAACCACTTTCTTGACAGACAACAAACTTGATATACTGGTTCTTCTTCTATAGTAGATGATTCCTATTTAATTTAATTCTAAGGTCACAGGGTCAAGGGTCAAACTGAACATATGAAGATACTGACTGCACGATTTGTTACGAGAACCTTTTGCCTGATAGAAATGACATTTCTTACACTGGTGGCATTTGAGGACACAAAGTCAAAGATCTAAAGAAAATATTGTCCATTTAATATTTTTAGTCCCCTACCAGTGAAACCGGAGGGGACTGTAGGTTTTCTCTGTGTCTGTCTATCTGTCCCCGTCAGTCTGTCCTACTTGGTTCTCTGCACTTTTTTTCTAAAGGCTTGCAGATATTGAACTGAATTGGTATATGTGAGTGTAGCTTGAAGAGTTGACAAACATCAACGTACAAGGTACCGTGGGTAGATACATGTACATGTATATGCATGAGTTCCCAATAGGGAGTACTGGTAAATGAACCTTGTTGATTTTGCGTACACCAGGTCAAAGAAAAAGGGTCAAAATGGACAATGGAAGTAACTGACCACTGAATATCGTAAAATAACATCCTTGTCTTGACAGACATTAAACTTGATATATTGGTTCCCTCTAAATAAAACATAACCTTGTTGTTTTGTTGGTCACGAGTTGAGGAGGGGAAAAAACTTCAATCTACCAGGATCATTAGATACTATTATTCACAACTAACTCTAAGTTGTAAAGTTGTTGTCCCTGGGATGACTAGCAGGCATAGTTTGCATTTAATACCATAATGAGTATTAAAACTTATTAAAAATACCAAAATTGCAAATAGAAGGAAATACATGTAGTTAACCACAAACTGAAAACACCTTTGAAATTTTTTTTTACTAAAATGAATTACTATCAGATTAAGTGGGATCCACTGTATATGCAACATATTCAAAAGGAATATCTCTCATAATAACACACTGTAGTATGTAGTTTTAAAAAAAAATTGTTTGTCTGATATACGTTCTTAAATTATTCTTTTAATCAATTTTTAATCCATGTCGCAATTCATACCATACTAAAACTCTGTACTCCTGTGTTAAAGAATCTTAAGCTGATATGTACTCGAAATTCAAACATACTTTTTCTACCAAAAGGGAGAAATTAGGTTAAGCCTCAGGTTCATGTACATATAATCTGTCAATGTAATTATTTCAAGAATCTTAAAATATTGTCCTTAATATAATACATGTATAGTAGAACTTGGTTATCTTGAAAACTGCATCTCTAATACCAGGGATATGTCAAGTGTACGCAGACAGTCCCAACTAGCCTATATGTTTTAAATGTTTCTAAAACCTTTTTCTTTGAATCTCTTGAATCTTCAATATCTGGAAGTTTCATCTTGCTCCCAACAAGTTCAAAATAACAAGGTTTAACTTTAGTACGAAAATAAGCATAAAATGATATTCTGAAATATATATTTTATTTTATTTTGTACCAAACGTAAGATTAGGCACACTCTTATGATATTAAAAATTTTCTCATTCTATGTTAAATGTCACTTTAAATTTCCATCGATCAGCTTAAAGCATCACAATCCTCTCTCTCAATCCTTGGAAATTTTCATCTAAAAGAAAGAAATAAAAAGAAAAAAAAATTAAATTTTCTTTGTGACACAATTAATATGGCCAATAATAATAGTAAAATATATATTCAAAGTATATTTTACAGAAATACTGTGCATGTTCACAAGTAAAAGAAAATTAATACGGATTTTGCCATTGCCTGACTTTGGCACTAATGGTACAATTAGTTTTTGACCATAACACTACAGATCCTGCAATGCAAAAAAAGTGCAACTTAATTATGGCGCAAGATTTTTTGCGCACTATTGGGCCCGGGAAGAATTTCTCGGCTTTACAACTTTGGTCAATCAACTACTACCACTCCCTAATTTTAGAGACATTCTTTAACTAATTTGTATATTTTAACCACCTCTAAACCCTAAAACTATAACTTGATTTGAATTTTCTACTATAAAATGGACAATTCAATCAAGCTAGTTTATTGCCTGTACAGTGTCATGACGACTTTAACATGTATAAAGAGTTGAGAGGTGGATGAAACATACAAATTAGTCAAAGAATATGTCTTGAATTACATGTAGGGAGTGCATGGTAGTTGAATGAGCAAAGCTGGAAAGTGGATAAATTCTTTCCAACAGTGCACAAAAATCCTTGCCCAGTAAATTGCACATCTTTTGCATTACAGGATCTGTAGCGTTATGGACAAAGACTGAAGTATGAAACCATAACACTATACCCGGTAGTTGTGCAGTTAACATGTATCTCAATCAATAAATTATGAAATTCTTCTTTAATGAGCTTATACCTGTAGGAAATTCCAAAAATATTCTTACCATTTATATTTATCAGCTTGTTTTAGCAATATTTCCTGTGATTTCTGCAACATTAGCCGCATCAGCAGCTGACATCTCCTTGGCAACCAGGATTACCACAATAAATACCCCCCAGCTCTTTGCTGCCTTCCTGTTAAATGTGAAAAATACAGTTATTATAAGGTCCATAAATTAGATTTATCATCTTGATCATGATTATTCATGATACACAATCACATGAATAATGTAAAGGATGTAATGGAGGAGAAAACATTTCTAAGAGATAAAAAATTGTTTGAAGGCTTCTTGGTACAAATCAAACTGCAGTGTACATTTACATGTATGTGCCACAGGCACCTGACGTTACTTATTTTTCTTTTAATAAAAAAAAATATACACATACCTAATAATAAACTAAAGACACTTTCAAAAAGAATTCGATCTTTGACGTTTCAAAATGGAGGATTTTGGCAAAAGATCAATCCTTTGTTTATGGTATATTTTTTTTTTATTAAAAGAAAAATAAGTAACGTCAGGTGCCTGTGGTATGTGCATATACTACACTATATAAGCAAAATTTAATCAATTTCAAGTAATGCTACACTTAACAAATATTAATATTTACATCAGTATTGCAGCAGCAATATAACATTCTTACGATCTTCTTGTAAATTTGTAACCGACTAACAGGGAAGAAATCATGTCGAGGTAGACCAGGATTCTAACTCAGGCCCACTTAATCTCTTGATCGGTGCTCTACCCACTGAGTCACCTCATCCCACTGTGATCAAACCCATCTCACCCACATTTATTTCTCCAAAAAGGTCTTGAAGGGCCAACCACAGCACTTAGAGGTAGTTCACCTGACATTTCCATGGCATTATACAGATGATCAGGAAAGGAGAAAAATCAAATGGACTAAACCATTAGGATTCAACCCCAACCAACCCCCAATCTCTAGTCAGGTGATTCATTATCATTCTATGAGAGTTATCCAGTGTAACATGTATAATGGCAACAAAACTATACGACTGCTACAGATGTATTTAGCTAATTTAATTTTCTAGATATTATAATTATTGTTTCCAGAGTCAGAACTACCACAGGCACCTAAATTTTTATCAATCAGTTGCTCGATCAATATGGAAAATAATCAAAAAATTCTACCCCTATATTTATATACTGTATAAGCAGAATTTTTAGTGAGGATTTAATTTTGGCATTGCAAAGATTAAAGTACCAATTTTTATGGACACATCCCTTTTGTCTCGCGCTAAAATTTCCACTTATACAGTATACAGTAAAACTCGGTTATAACGAAGTCGCTGGGACCTTTTAAATTACTTCGCTATATCCGTAATTCGTTATATCCATATAAGAGTTCATTAAATTTATATAGCTAAGGAACCAAGATAAATTCACTATATCCGTGAATTCGCAATATCCATGTTCATACTAAACGAGTTTTACTGTATTAAGGGGTAGAATTTTTCCATATTTGACATATTGAGTGACTGCACGATTAATAAAAATTCAGGTGCCTGTGGAACTACATTTGAAAATGTATTTGAACAAACTGTACATGACAAAACAAGAGGCCCAGGAATTACATCGCTCACCTGGGTACTGTGGCTAGGAAAAAAAAGCAAAAATCAGTTTAGTATTAAAAAGCTTTACATTAAATGCATGAATGGTCCTGACCTACCCCTAAAAGCTACAATTTGAACAAACTTGAATCTACACTATCTGAGGATGCTTCCAAATTAAAATGACAAACCAGCTTTGATGTTCTTGAGAAGATTGTTCCTATACATTCCTATGTAAATCTTTGATCATGCAGCCATTGTGACCCCGCCCTACACCCCAGGGTCATGATTTGAACAAAACTGAATCTGCACTACCTGAGGATAATTACATATGAGTTTCAACTTTCATGGCCGAATGGTTCTTAAGAAAAGAAGATTTTTAAAAGATGCCATTAATTTTTAGCTGATTCATAATTATCTCCCCTTGGAAGAGGGCAAGGCCCTTCATTTGAACAAACTTGAATCACCCAAGAATACTTAATGTATAGTGCTCAAGTTTGGTTGAAATTGGCCCTGTGGTTCTTGAGACGATGACAACGACAGACAACCACAGGGGCATCTTATCAACTCTGTTCTCTACTTCACATATAAAAAATATATGTGAAGTAGATAACAGAGTGGATAAGATGCCCCTGTGCTCAGAATCAAGATATTAAACTGTTAAAATTTGGCTCAATTTAGGGGTAACTTAAGATGGTAGAAGAAACAGATGAAACCTCAATAATTTAGCATAATTAACAATTATACCAGAAAAAAGGATTGCCCCATATCGCCTTTACAACGTTTTTGGCCCCCATCTTAATCTGTTTTATATGGATCTTTGATGTTTCACGTGTACCCGTGTTTACCATACACAGTAAAACAACTCGTACCTAAAACAGACAAAAATGCTTATCGTTAAAAATATTACCAATTGTTTTTTTCATTTGAAAAACAAAGAATATACAATTATTCTTTGCCTTATGCTTATGATTAATGCATATTTTTCCTAAAGAAAAATACTGAACATTTATTCTTGTTGTCCTCGAGTAATCTTTGTACGAATTAGTCAGAGCGGTGACACCGGAAATCACTTATCAACTAGAAATATTGAGTTGTGAGAACGTTTCCAGACACTGCAAAAATGTCCACCGGATTGAGCAAAGAGGAATATCTGAAACGTTACACTTCTGATTACACAGCATCGGATAAAAGAAAGAAACGAAGAAAAAAGTCAGAAAATGTCAGAATTCCTAAGTCAAGAATTGTAGATGATGACATAGATCTGAAGACACTTCTGCCAAGTAACAACGAGGAGACCACAGCATACGACAATATGGAAGAAAATGTACCGACTGTTGCAGCTTTTGTGGATGAGCGTCCAAAACATATTCAACAGCTGGAAGCATACAAAACAGACAAGTGGAAGGGAGTAGCCGCAAAAGATGAACACTTGACTTTGGTTAACTCAAAAGTTAGAAAAAGACATGACTCGGATTCTGCTGATTCGCTGTTAGGTAGAGAAAGACATGATTCAAATTCAGACCAGTCACCTCCAAGAAAAGGACGACATGATTCTGATTCTGACCAATCCCCACAAAGGAATCGGAGACATGAATCAGATTCTGACCAATCACCTCAAAGGAATAGGAGACATGAATCAGATTCTGACCAATCACCTCAAAGGAATAGGAGACATGATTCTGATTCTGACCAATCCCCACAAAGGAATAGAAGACATGAATCAGATTCTGACCAATCACCACGAAGGAACCGAATACATGATTCAGATTCTGACGTATCTCCTCCAAGGAAATTTTCAAAAAGTGACTCGAAAAAAAGAAAACAAACAGAAGATGTTTACAAAACAGGAAAAAGTATGAGACGTAAAGAACAAGATGAGAATGGTAGCAAAATGAATAAGACATTGTCTGGAAAGAAAGCTGGTCTCTCCTCAGCAAAAGATATGAAAAGAGAAGCAGATGTGTTGAGAAAAAAAGAGGATGAAACATTTAAACAGATATCATCAGATCTTTTAGGGAAAGATGCTAAGACTCAGTTTAGAAAAAGTGGAAGGCAGCAAAAGAAAAAAGATGCAGAGCCAACAAGAGAAGAAATAGAGAGAAAAGAAGAAATAGAAGCCAAACACCGTGAATGGGGGAAAGGTATAAAGCAAACAGAGAACAAGGCAGCTCGACTAGAAGATCATCTGTATGAAATGTCTAAACCTTTGGCACGAGCACGAGATGACAAAGATCTGGACAATATGTTAAAGGATATGGAAAGAGCTGATGATCCAATGTTAGCCTTCATTAAAAAGAAAAAAAGCAACAACAAAACAAAAAAAGAACTTCCAAAATATAAAGGACCTCCTCCACCTCCAAACAGATTTGGGATTATGCCAGGCTACAGATGGGATGGTGTAGACAGATCAAATGGTTTTGAGCGATCAATATATGCAAAAATTTCAGACAAAAAAGCTGTTGATGATATGGCTTACAAATGGAGTGTGGAAGATATGTAATTTGTATTAAAGTCATGTGTCAATTTTTATGATCTCCTGAGACATGAATATCTTTGATTAAGTGCAAATTCTTCAATAAACAAATGAAAATCAACACAAAAGTTACTTTTACACATGAGACCAGTCCTTTGTGGCCGGAATCTTTATTTTTTAAAGTCAAGCCAGTTTTTCTTAAACTTGATGATAATTGAGAGTTAATGTTCATTTTCTGATATGCGTAAAGAACAAGCTGTGTTCGTGAAACTCTGATGCCCTGTATTGCAGGTTTTTGCAAAGGTTACAGTTTTAATCAGGTCCAGTACAATCAGATTTAGCTACGTAGGTAAACTTGATGATAATTGAGAGTTAATGTTTAAATGACTATTTATTTATACTTGAGGCTATGCAATCCAAAGCAGAGATAATACATTGAACAAGCAAAACGTGTGTTAGCTGTCCGTGCGGTGAGGCATGACTGAGTATGATTACTTCACATTGTACTGAATAATTACCCACCTATTATCGTGTTAACCGGAACTGGGCTTCTTTGTTATTTCATCCAAGGGGTAACTGTTCTAACTGTCAACAGGTTTGATTGCAATTGCAGTTTTTTCCAATTTTTCCATGCAATGAGTTCAAACTGCATCAAAATGGTTGTTCTGCACACCCTGAAAAAATTCTTTTAAATAGAAATAAACCAATTTGGTAGCTAAATAAAGCTACCTCAGGTAGGTAAATAAAGCTATGTAGGTAAATCAAGCTACGTAGCTAAATCTAGTGATTGTACCAGACCTGTTAATTGCAAATCAAAGTGCAAGGTTTAGAGAAAAACATGATGTGTTAGTGAAACACTGATGCCCCCCTATGGCAGTTTATGGCAAGGATTGAAATTTCTCCAATGCAAGTTGAACATCAAGGTCAAAATTGTTGGTATATACCCAATGGAAGGTCATCTCACAAGGAATACACCTGTGAAATGTGGAAACCCAAGTACTACATGTAACAATTCAAAAGTAATGGTAAAGGTAAATATTTTAAGATTACTGTGAATTGGTAACTTTTAAATGAGAAGAGATGAGGGCTTTCATATGAAACATGTTTTTATTACCTGACAAGACCTTTCTAAATATACTATGATTTTTGACCTCCTGACCTTGAAGTTTTTCCTACCAAAACTTTAACCTTGGTCATGACTTTAAATGGGAAGAGATTGGGCTTTCACATTAAACCTATATGTATTGCCTGAGAAAAGACCTTTCTTAAAATACACAATGATTTTCGATCTCATGGGAGATGATCTTATGTACATGTATTTGGCTGTGGATTCTGCAACGATGACCTACAATCTACTACATGTATTAATGAAAGAACACTTAGCAAATTCAAGGAATTGTGGTCCCCCGCTTTCGGTGCCTTTGTGGGTGAGATGTCATTTTTAATGACATATTGTGTGTAATATCAACACCCTATTATATGTCATTTATTTAGGAATCATCACTGAACTCCAAGGTCAGGGTCAAAGGGTTAAAGTTTTTGGTATCCAATAAAAAGTCTTCTCATAAGGATTACATATGTGAAGTTTGACAGCCCTAACCCTTACCATTCAAAAGTTATGGTAAAGGTTAAAGTTTTTTCATAAGTACAAAAAATCGTCAAGTTTGTTGATATCAAATGAAAGGTCTTGCCACAAAAAATACATATGTGAAATATGAAAGTCCTAGTATCTACTGTTCAAAAGTTGTGGCAAAGGTCAAAGGTTTTGAAAAGTAGGTCAAACTCCAAGATCAAGGTCAAAGGGTAAAAAATCTTGGTATTCAATGAAAAGCCTTCTCACAAGGATTACATATATGAAGTATGAAAGCCCTAGCCCTTACCGTTCAAAAGTTATGGTCAAGGTTAAAGTTTTTTCGGAAATTTTCAAGGTCAAACGGTCAAAGTTGACAGCATCCAATGAAAGGTCTTGTAACAAAGAATATATATGTGAAATATGAAAGTCCTAGTATCTACCATTCAAAAGTTATGGCCAAAGTAAAAGTATGGAATTTTTTGTGTAAAAGTGGGTCAAACTCCAAGGTCAAGGTCAAAAGGTCAAATTTTGTGGTACCCAAAGAAAAGTCTTATCACAAGGAATATATATGTGAAATATGAAAGTCATAGCTCCACTAAATCAAAAGTTATGGGCAAGGTTTAAGTTTTTGTGACAGACAGACTGATGGACATACCAATGAGATTTAATGTCCCCTCGCTTTCACGAAAGCGGGGGACAAAAAGTGACCAAGCTGACAATTACCCCACCGCCCCCAAAACTCAACAATGGAACACGTAATGAATGGCACAAAAATAATGGAATACTAATTTACTTGTAATATGCACATCTATGCACACTGTGTACTAAATTTCTGCAAAGTCTGACCAAATTCTGTGCAGTGGTTTCAAAGTTAGTCGCAATCTGATAAACTGCTCATCTCGATATTCAAGATATGGCCAAAAATCTAAGTTGAAAAGTGCTGAAATTCCCGGCAAAAAAGTGGTATCTGAATTTCTTGGTGATATGCACATCTTCACATTGTGTCCTAAATATCTGCAAAGTTTGACGAAATTCTGTGCAGTTTAAGGAGTTGCGCTGACAAAAACACAGGACTGATGGACTGACTGACACACAGACGGACAGGTCAAAAACATTAAACCTCCCACAACTTGTTACGTGGGGTATAATAAGAATACAACAAACACAAGCCAGAGTGAAAATGTTTTTTTCTTACCCAATTCATGAATGTTTATAAATGATTTGAAAGATAATGACTGCTTTACATCCTCAGAGTAATTAGCAAACGAACACTATATTTAGTATTGATAAATCATTTATTTTATTCAAAGCATTTTAGGCACTTACATGTGCTATTATCTTACATGTGGTTAAAAAATGTAAACACTAAAACACTAAGCAATTTGCTAGCAAAAAGCACATATCAGATCAGAAGTGAAAGTTTACACATTAAAAAACTTACTAACTACTTGATGCATATAAATATCACATGCATGGATTTGAAGTACTTGAAAAGAGGATTTTAAAAGGTTTCATATATACCTATGTTAATTAAACTTTGATCAGATTTTGGCCCCACTTTTGATTAAACTTCAATCAAAATGATTCCACATGAGTTTCATCTTTCCTAGCCCAGTGGTTCTTGAGAAGAAGATTTTTCCTATATATTCCTATGTAAAAATTTGATTGGCCATTTTGGCCCCACCCTAGTCCCAGGGGTCATGATTTAAACAAACTTGAATCTACATTACCTAATGATGATTCCGTCTGAGTTTCATCTTTCCTGGCCCAGTGGTTCTTGAGAAGAAGATTTTTAAAGATTTTTCCAATATATTCCTATGTAAAACTTTGATCTGCCATTGTGGCCCCACCCTGGTCATGAAACAAACTTGAATGTACACTCCTCCACATGAGTCTTTTCCTGGTGCACATGATTTTTAAAGATTTTCCCTATCTTTCCTATGTAGAACTGTTTTGGCCCCACACAATGAATTTGAATCTACACTACCTGAGATGATTCCACATGAGTTTCATTTCCTGGCATTCTTGCCATTAATTTTTCTCTAATTCATAATTATCTCCCCTTGGAAAAGGGCGTGGCCCTTCATTTGAACAAACTTGAATCCCCTTCACCCAAAGATACTTTGTAGCAAGTTTGGTTGAAATTGGCCCAGTGGTTCTTGAGAAGAAGATGAAAATGTGAAAAGTTTACGACGACGACGACAACGACGACAACAAACAACGGACAAATTTTGATCAGAAAAGCTCACTTGAGCCTTTGGCTCAGGTGAGCTAATTATTAAATGCATGTCATGTACATGTGTACAATGCACCATTGATACTCGGTAATCACAACACAGGGTGCAGACATATTTACAAGCTATATATTTCTTTCATGTTAGCTATGATTTAGAGTTCCTTGCATGATAAACATGCTTTTATGCAACCCTGACTTGCTGAAAACTCCACAAAACTTTGATTTCCAGACCATAGATATTTCAGCAATATATCCAAACATTACAAATTGTGTATCATTTAAATATATAGTATCACAATATAACGGCTTGCACCCCTGCATCCAGTTTGATAACTTCACCATTCACGTAAGGATTGTCAATAATTTTCTCACAGAGGTGGTAGAATGTTTGTGAGGAACCAATTTTATGAGGAAATGCCATTAAACTGCAAAACTTGACCTCTCTTCTCCTAGGCCAATCCTCTGGTATTTGGTAGTCTAAAAACCCTGTTAACAAAAACAACAATTTACAAAAAAATCATTTAGTAATTAATATAATTTTAAAAAAGGTAAATCTTTAAAGTTTAACTATTACATATAACTGTATCCTTAGCCTAATTGGCACTAGTTGTGCAGCTAAATTATCATCATGTTTAGGAGAGCTGGAAATGTAACATTTAACAATTACTTCTATCAAATGGAATGTGTATTTTTACACTAATCAATTCCCAGAGGTCATCTCTTTTAGAATGTTGGATCTGAAATTGACCTTCTTCTTTATAGACTTTTTAAAATATTATTACAAATGTCCTGATTTACTGCAAATATAATTGTCATTTTCAAGTTGAAAGGTGAAACTCTCTCTCTATACATATGCTAAAGATGAAAATAAATTATCTTACTTCGAATTAAAATATACCATTCTCTATCCAGAGTTGTTGTTCGCGCTTCTTTCCCACATACAGCTCTGTCAATGCTTGTTATACAAAATTCTTGGAAAAATTGTTTTTGACCTTTTGTATTTATAATTGTGTGTTTATATTTCAAAAACATTATTAATTTTAATGTCACCTTAAAAGGAATTTTTAATTAAGCAAATATAATTGTCATTTTCAAAATCTTTGAAAATAAGTTGTTCTAAGTGACTCTCTCTAAAATAAATAATGAATTATCATCTTTATCAAGATTTACAATAAAATTATCTTTTTTGAATTAAAATATACCTATGGCTGAAAAGTGATTAAAAATACATGTATCTATGATTAATTATGAGCTAGTCAAGATTTACAGAATCAATTAAAATTTAACTACATTATACCAGTCTTAATAAAATTTAGTCACCTGTTGCAATACTGTTGACCCTTATTCCCAAATCATGAAAATCCCTGGCCATTGGGAGTGTCATTCCTATTATGGCTGCCTGGGACATGGTGTAAGGAACTAGGGAACTCCCAAATCCTAAAGTATGGGATTTGTTGATGATCACTCCTCTCTGTCCATTTGCATCAGGTTTATTTTTAGACATCAGTCTTGCACTTAGCCTACATACATTGAATGTACTAGTCAAATTTTCCTACAAAACATGTAATCAAGTTGATGGAAAATTCAGATTTAGTGATCGTCCATAAGAATAGGTATTTTAAATTATAGCAAGAAGAAATTTTAGCAAGTTTAAAAAGATCACTTAGGTAGCTATAATAACTACAATGCAATTAATTTTAGCAATATTTAATTTTAGTGATCTCAGCACCTTTGCTAATAATGCCAAAATTAAATCTTCACTTTCTGCTTACACAGTACCAACCCTTAAAAGTTTCTCCATAAATTCCTCTGTTAACTTTTCTTCAAAGGTTACAGTTTGTGTGTTTTCCTGTGATTTTTCTCTCTCTATCTGACTTCTGATATGAATTTTGCTAGACCTGGCATAACTAGGGCAGTTGATTGTAACATCCAGTTTCCCAAACTTTTCTTCTGTCAGATTTATGGTCTTCTCAACATCATCTGCTTTTGTTAGCTGAAAGAAGTGAATCATAATAAATGGAGAGTATATGTATATTTTGATATAAATATTCTCTTAAACCAAGAATTAGCTAGCTGAAAGGAGAAAGGGGGCATGATTTTATTTACAGTGAATTTTCTTCACATATGCATATCATAAACTTCTTTGATGAAAGTCTCAGATATTGGGGCCATTATTAAAAAATCTTTTTGTTTGATGTACTCCTACCCACACTTTTCAATGTAGGTAGATACAGGTAGTATTTCTTTTTTTTTTGTTTACAGTATTGAACAAATTGATAACTGTCATCAAAATCACAGCCTCATAAATTTATGTTTTCATTACATATTGGATAGAGTACATGTACATGTTTATAAATGCTCTAAAAACTTTCAGTTGAAAAGTAACATGAGAAATTACATAACTTAGCTTTGAAATGAAACAATTCTTATGGAAACTAAAAAAAAAATAAGATAAAGTTCAAAGTGCTGAAAAAAACAAGAGATGTTTGTAAAACACTTATGCCCCCTCTCCCAAATTGGAATTTTTTCAAGTCCAAAAGAGCATAACTCTGTCAAAAATGATGCAATTGTACCCAAAACACAATCTGACCTAGATATTAATATGATAAATCTGTATACCAAATTTCATTTCAGTATGTGCAATGTCTGCAAAGAAAATGAATGGAAACTGCAATTTAATTGGAATTTTTTTTTAAGTCCAAGGGGCATAACTCTGTCAAAAGTGGCGTAATCGTACCCAAAACAAAACTTTACCTAGATATTTATCTGATAAATCTGTATACTAAATTTCATTTCAGTATGTGCAACTGTTAAGAAGAAAATGAATGGAAACTGCAAATAATTTGAATTTTTCTGAGTCTAAGGGGTATAACTCTGTCAAAAATGGCGCAGTTGTACCCAAAACACAACTTGACCTAGATATTCATGTCGTTTATCTGTATACCAAATTTCATTTCTGTATGTGCAACGGTTACAAAGAAAATGAACAGAAATGAAGTGGACCGACAGACAGATGGACCGAAAGACAGCATCAAAGCAATATGCCCTCCCTTCTTTGAAGGGGGGCATAATAATTGGAAGGTGTAGCTACAGAACTGTAGCTCTCCAAAAAAAAAATATATTCAATTTGACAGACTGGAGAGCTACAGTGCCACCCATTGAAAAAACTGTATGTTTATAGCACACTAAAAAGTGTGCTGTTTATCGATTTATTTCTCCATGTTTTCAAAACAGTCATCTTAAAATATTACAAACAGTGTGTTCCTAATATATCCTTTCACTATTTCCACAACAAAACATTCCATATAATTGTTGTTGACCCTGAAATTGAGATCATCAAAGATTTTGTCTATTTATATCGTCATTTTGTGACGATTTGATCTAAGGCGCTTTGTACAGATATTAACTACGAAAGTAGTTTATAGAGAAGTAAGAAATACAGTAAAACTCGGTTATAACGAAATCACTGGGACCTATGAAATTACTTTGTTATATCCATGTAAGGAATTCGTTAAATTTATATAGTTGGGGATCCAAGATAACTTCGCTATATGCGTGAATTCGCAATATCCGTGTTCGTACTAAACGAGTTTTACTGTATTTTGAAAATTGAACTTTTTTGCAATTGAGAGAAGAATTTGGGAGAATTAATCCAGAACCAAGCACAAAATTTTGTGTGCAATAATTATAAAGTTTTTTCATTGGGTGGCACTGTAGTTCTCCGGTCTGCCAATATATTTTTTCGGAGAGCTACAGTTCTGCACATACATGTACGAAAGGTGATGATTTTGACGGGTCGGTTGGAATACATCAAACAAACGATTTTATTTTTTATTTTTGACACAAGCACAATATACATGAAAATGCCAACTAAATCATAACCTGTCTACATTTCAACTTACATCTGCAGTAAAAAAGAAACAGTTTTTTCTACCAAGATTTTCTTGTATTTCTTCGCCAGCTTCAGTATCAGTGTCACATAAAACAACTCTCCCTCCTCTCTTCACAAAGTTTTCTGCACACGTTCTTCCCAGGTTCCTAGAACCATTCGCAATTAAGAAAACGGTACCCTGTAAACAAATCGAAAACATTTGTAAAACAATGCTACGCGTTCGAATTATCTCCATGTGAAATATGAATTACATTTCTTTGAGTAAAATGGGCCTGAAATAAGTAAAAATATAAAAATATCAATTGACTGATAAAAACACGTAAATCTTAAACTATGAAATTGACATTATCTTATATTTTAAGTGATTGTATGTGAAATTCTAACCTTAAATTTTGACATAGCCGAGGCCATGTTTTACACATGTGGGCCAAACTTTAAGTAACTCGTACTCTTAATATTCACGTAAATTAAAAATAAAAACAATCAAGCTCACTAAAAGTAAATTAATAACATGTCCTTTAAGTGTTAGTTATTTAAATTTCAGAATTTACTCATAGATATTAACTATCGATGTAAAATAGAGATATCGCAAAACCAAAACTGACCCAATCAGCGTAAGAGTTATTGAAAATAAAAGATGGCTGCGCCCATGTTTGATGCAATGAACCAATTCATTGATTGATTGAAGTCTAATTCTTCTGTCATTGAAGCATTTCTGTTACAAAAAGACGTCATAACACATCTTCCAACTTCTTTCACTACAGTGAAGAGTGTTGATTACAAGATTTTTTTTTCATTATCAAGGTAATTCTGTATTTTTTATGGCCCATGCCAAAGACCACTAAGCCAGTTAGCTACTTCAAGCTACCATTCAATTTTATTGAAATTTTCAGCAAGTAAAAAAGATACGTAATACCTATAATAATAACACAAGGAGTGCAACGGTTGTGTTCGCCCATGACGCCGTTCGCCCAAAAATAAACAATCATACACAATTAACTAGAGATAACGATATTACGAGAGTACAAGTACTTGTAACTCCCCTTTTTAAATTTTCTTCAATGTCACTGTCTCTGGTTTATTTTCGCATATGACTTCAATATAGATTAGCATTTCAATTTTGTTCATCTTCCATCATATCCATCCAAGGCATCTTCTTATATTTTTTGTAAAACACGAGTTTGAAATCTTATGAATTAAGAGAGAATGGTCCCTTCCAAAAAGATTGGTTTGTGTTTTATAACCTTCTTGAAGATTAATTGTGCGACAGCCTTGATATTAAGCGAGGGGTACCCAATGACCTAAAATGTGTTGCACTCCTTGTGTTATTATTATACGTATTATGTATCTTTTTTATTTAAAAATTTCGGTAAAATTGATTGTATCCCCCTAATTAACATCTATATTAATCATCTAAAATTACCTATAATGCAAACACTTGACTAAGCCTAAGGCCTTCTAAAAACACTGGGTTTGTTCGCCATACTTAAATATAGAATAAGAATGTTCATCTTCCATCATATCCATCCAAGGCATATCATATTTTTGTGAGGTCAAAGAGAGATTTGAAAGGTAAAAAACAATCCTATTAATGTGTATCTTTTTCAAAACCTAGCACAATTATAATATTTAATTCATATAGTACATGTATATACAGTTAATTCATCGATATTAATCATCTAATAACATGTAACTATAATGCAAACACAATTTAGGAAACAAGAAGTAGAGTTACCACTCTTAGAAATTGACCATAAGCCTTTTTATTCTAAAAACATGTACATGTATATAAAAACAAATTTGAAAAACTTCAAGTTATTTTTTATGTACAATTTCAAAATGTGCATAAATATACAGTCATCTTAAATGTCTGCTATTGAAAAAAAAAAACAGAATATATTGAAAAAAAAAATTCCATTCTTTATGGCATCATTGGTAATTAAATTTATACCGTATAATTATTTTTAAAGCAAACTTTGCAAGGTTTAAAGCAGCGATCGTCAAAATAATATTGTTATCGGCGTACTTTTATTATGATCGCTTTCGTTGTGAAGCCATGACTATAAATGATTTAAGACAGAAAACAAAATTATTATAACAGTTCATGTTAAAATTATTGTTTATTCAATTCTTATTTAATTATTTAATTGCATGTACCTCGTCTGATCGTAAAATAAATGCTTTATAGGATTGCATAAATATAATTGACACTTAAAAATGGACCTTTGTTTTGAAAACAGGGTGGCGGATGGCGGTATGCGAATTTGGCGTTATATATATAGCAGGAAAAACGTTCTTGGGAAATCATGGCGGTATGGCGAAAATGGCGATGAATCGAATGGCGAAGAAGATATTGGGCGAACAATATTTTGGGTGAACGGACTCTGCGCGAGCGGACTCTGGCGAATAGGTAGATCGGGCGAACGAACCCTATACCCTACCTAGGTATGTAAATGTACTCCAAGTACAAGTAACTATTTTTACCAACTTTTTGCTTAACTTGCATGTTATGTCCAAACACAGGAACTGCAAGTACCAAATTTTTTTGATATCACACTTAGGACAAAAACATGCCCATTTTTGACTTTGTGTCCTTAAAGTTTGAGTATGATCTACTTTAATTAACCTTGGTCATCATGTTCATGATTTTCTAATGGTTTGTAATGAAGTTTTCACATTTCACATTCTTCATTTGTTCTTTGGGTACCAACATATTTATTTGTGTCTTTGAAAATCTTGTCCATATCTTTTTTGTATACAAGTTGTATTGGTTTTCGTACCCTTAATTTTGCATGACCTTTCAACTGCATGTAATATTTATTTCACAACTTTATATAATCTTGAAATTTAACTCTCATTTGATTTTTTTTAACATAGGCCATAAAGTGCCATACAGGAGCATCAGACTATTTCAAAAAACTATATCTTGTTTCATTATTAGTTTGCCTTGTAAGGGAAAAAAGTGTTAACAAAACATGTGTAGATGTTAGTACAAGTGTATTGAATATTTGTTTTTATAATAATTATATTTATACATTGCCTATTGGGAAAAACAGTAGTCTGAAGTAAAATCTTTTAGGATGGAAGATCATCCGGTGGAGGTAAAAAGCCCCTCCTTTCCCCGACTACTGCAGCTTCTCTCAGATTCCCAAGTCTTGAGCTCTGAATTACAACAAGAAGTTCAGGCTTTAATGGAGATGGTCAAAGAGCAACAGGAAAGGTATTAACTGCTTTGAAAAGCTTTCAGGTTATTTGTAAAATTTTGTAAAGTCGATGTCGTAGAAAATTTTTTGTGTATCCTTGTGTAATACTTCATTTGTTACCTGATGCATCATAATTTACTAATTATGTCAACATTTTCAGAGAAAAGATAACGGACCGTGATGTTGAAGCCATTGATAAAACACTGACCTATTTTCTAGAACTCTTGGAAAAAGAGTCAGCATATAGTGGTCTAGCGGACTGCTGCCGATTACTGCGCAATATTTGTGTCCAGTGTCCATCAGCACAAGACAAAGTTTTGCCCTGTCTCAAGAAGATCAAATCTGTGATTCACAGCTGTGCAGGGCTCAAGAGAGGGATACATAAAACCGAAAGTGAAAGTGGCATCATTTTGTTCCGATGTATTGTACAGTTTATAGGGAACTGTATTGTCAACCACCCAAATAACCAAGAATATGTGTGGAATAATTTCCAAGATGAACTCAGGTAAACAAGTAATGATGATTCCAATTAAAAATATGTTGGTTTTTTTTGTCTGAAAATTTACATGTTTTTCTTGCCAGCTAGAGACTGCTCCTCTATATTTCAAAATTTACAACAAACATCTTTTTCAAATTTCTAGTCTGTATTCTGATTAGCTCCTTTAACACAATAAAGATAAGAGTATAAAAATAATGTTACTGTAGAAGTACTTTTATCCGCGTGGTATTAATTTACGCTATGTACGCGGTTACAAACTTTCCGCGAAAATTTGTCCCATCAAACTCTATATACATGTAAGGCAGATACTGAGAATTTAGGAAATCCGTGTAATTTTCTACCCGCGGATTAAAAGGAAACAGAGATTCCGCGGAATTTTGATCCCGTGGAAAAAAGTACGTCTACAGTATCTCTGATCCTTCTCAATTAAGATTTGGTTAAAGTGCATAAAAGATATCTCTTTTTTTTCCCTAAAAGAAATTCTAGAGCATTATGTATTTCAGAAAGCTAAATTTAAGACTTTTTAATTTTGATCATGTTGATTTGTTGAAAACCCCTTGTTTTCATTTTATAGTCTTTGACATACACAATTCACTTACCTGTAGGGGTAAATTGTAGTTTGTAGTCTAATGTATGGTGAAATGGTGTCATAAGATTAGAGCAAGTTTGTCTTGCATGTGCCTCTGTGTGAAAATTATTATATATGAAACATACACTGTATATTATGAACATTTTTTTTTGTCCTCTTTACCACAGCGATCTGTTGACTTTTGGAGATGAGAAGTTATGTACATACACATGCATGGTTTATCACAATTGCCTTAGAGGGATGCTGGACAGGAAGTCCGAGATGGATACTGAGCATTGTGGGCAAATTCTCTGTGATGTTGTCAAGGCAACCATTGACAAAGAATCTGAATATGGGTAAGGACTGACAAGGTGAAAAATTCATGTAAGAACAAAATAAAGAATGTTATACATTGTTCATAGAATTTCTTTATTGCCTAAAAAGAGAACAAAGAAGAGCTTTATAATAAATTAGTCTGAAAGTTAATTTTTTTAATTTTTAGAATAAAACCTAGTACATGTGTCATATGAAATGATTCTTTTTAAAAGTGGTGGCTAGAACTCTTTTTTTTAATTTAATTGTGAATGTTTCCTAAATCATTGAAAACTGACAAACACCATTGAAGACTCGTACACACTCTTTTGTTTTGTTATTCACCTTAGATTATTTGTGGTAGGAGATTGCCTGGAAGTTAAGGGTACACTGGAGGTTGCTGATGAAGATCTATTAGATCATGAAATGTAAGAGATAAGTTCTATATATGACTGAAATTAAAGTAATGCTTATACAGTAAATTACTTTTAAATATACAAAGTCTGAAATGATAAAGTTCGATAGAGTCTGTTGCTGTTCGTGTGAGCATGATTTCTCTGAAATTTTTATCATGTAAAGGAAGTTTTATCTCGAAGTGAATTCCCTGCAAAAATCAAACATTTAAATTGTATTCTAAAAATACTTTAGGTTTATGAACCCGCTATGCACTCACATAAAATGTTTTATATAATGACTTGGTTATAATTTTCTGATAGAAATGTATTTTATAAGCAAAATTCAAACTATGATCATAGAATGGTATGTTGGAAAAATTGGCCAAGAATATCATTTCCACTTGATAAATTTTCATGTGTACAGGAATAATTGTCATTTATGTCATTTAGAGTTATCTCTCTTTTCACAGTAGCAATGAACCTTAATACAGGTATTTGTAATGAAGTTCAGAATGTTGGGGAAATTCTTCCTATATCGATAACTTTCATTTACAGATTGTATGTACTGGAAATCTTAATAGACCAGCTGAAGAGATTGCCAAAGGACTGTGATTTAACGGGGCCGTGTCCTCACCCTTCTGTAGACAATTTACGGTATGTCGTGACCCAGGTAGCTACATACTCCACAGCCATACTCAATGTCATCGAGGAAAAAATGGAAATCGTGAGTATGATAATAATACAGTATTGACTATTAAATTAAGTATGAAGTAAAATCAGCCTATTTTACCATATAAGCAGAATTTTTAGTGAGGCTTTAATTTTGGCATTATTAGCGAGGGTGCTGAGATAGCTAAAATTGAATATCGCTAAAAAATAATTGCGTTTCCTTTGAAATAGCTTCTTTAGTGAGTTTTTTAACATCGCTAAAATTACATTTTGCTAAAAATAAAATATGAATTTTTAAGGGCAAATTGCTAAATTTGCGTCTTGCTAAAATTTCCACTAAAATGGTATACCCGTAAGAATTTCTTTTCACTCAAAAAATGTTTAAAAGTATCTACTATTATTTCTCATTGTTTTTACTGAAGAGTTATTGTTTTCAGAATCCCAATGTAATTGTGAAGCAGATAGAGATCCTAGGCCTTGCTTCCTCCCATACTCAGCTGTACGGAGAACTACAGAATGAGTCAGACTTACTTACTACTTGTCTCTGTAAGTTTTCATCTCTGTGAATCCACTTTTCAGAGTTTTCAATCATCACTTAATGGACAAAATCCCATTTACATGTATGTAAGAAAAAAATCATTGTTTTCTTTTTTTTGTACACCAATTTAATGAATATAATATACTTGCAACACTGTCAACAACAAAAATTCTTTAATCTGAGTTAATGGTGTGGAGTTATTTGAAAAATAGTAGATTTAAAGGTGCATTAATGCATAATCTCATTTTAATTCAGATTTAAAAAGAAGCAAAGACACCTTAATTTTCATAAACAAAAAAGGTCACTAAAGTATATTCAAAATTATCTTGACAATGAAAAAGAACAAAAACTCCCATTTTCCAGATTTGCTGCACAGTATCCACCGTCTGGGTCAGTGTGGAGACAATGTGTTCAGTAACGTGGAGAAGGTGACCCGGGTCACAGAGGTGGACGTCCATCATCCAGCATTCGGACTCAAGAAGGACATCATCCGCTTACTGGCCAACCTTGTACACAGACATAAAGAAAACCAGGATAAGGTAGACATTAATTAAGAAATAAAGTCCGCGTTTTCGTGAATGTTGCAGAATAACCTCGGCTTTTATCTTTATTAATTTCAAACAACATTTCGAGACCGAGGAGGTTATTCTGCATCATTCATGACAACAAGGACTTTATTTTTATTCTACCATGTATAACTACAATCGCTAATCGTAACGGATAATCATTTCCTCTGTAGAGAAACGAATTATGTCACCATGTCTCGATTACGCTGTTTCATTTTACACCAGAGGTAAAATTTGTTTGCTTACCTGTGTATAGAATGCAGACGATTTGAGCTTTCGTTACATTAAAAATAGCCTTTTTAAATTACAAATTGTTCGTAATATGTATTAATCAGTTAAAATGAATATACAATAACAAAATCATGTTCCTGTTTTACTGCTAAAATCATGTTGTTTAATGTGTAGGGAGGTTTGTGGAATAGCCCCGCTTAGCTATAAAAATCGACATTCATCAGCAGCTTGATGCAATTTACAGTGTTTATACTGCAAAAGACGACACATCGATGCGGTCTAAACAAGTATTTCATTCTACAGCCAAACATGCATTTGAATTGTTCAGATTTGATACGTGTTTCTGATCTCAAAATTTTTTGATGACGTTCGTGATTTATTGGAGAATAATGTCCGCCGGTTTCCTTTGATGTTTTCAATAATCGTGGTAGAATATACGTGTACTACCACACTCAGGCATAAAAAAAAACAAAATAAGGTATACATATAATTATAATACGTGTACTAGCTACCATACACACATAAAGAAAAAAAGATAAGGTATACATTAATGTATAATACATGTACTACACACAGACACAAAGAAAACCAGGATAAGGTATACATTGATATATAATACGCGTACCACACACAGGCATATGATAAAACCAAGATAACGTACACTTTATTTATTCAGTTGCATAAGGTGTAATACTGTAAAATCACTTATTTTTAAGGGGTCAGATTTTTTGCTCCAGTTTAGGCTTTAAGCTTCATTCGGAGAGTAATTTGAAAATATACTTGGTCAATTCTTTTTTTTTTTTAAAATAAAGCTGCTGTATGCATTAAGTGACAAGCAGTATTATGATAAAGATCCAGGAGTATTTACAAATGGTGAACAATGTAAACATTCCTATTCAGAAGATCAAGAGCTCAGGGACTATGTAGCATATTGCTATACATAACATTATTTGCATGATAAGGAAAGAACCCTCAAATAAACTGAAAGTCATACCCCATGGTTGTGCAATTTAGAATTGAGGTTTGGATTAATACATTCGAAAAAAAAAGCTTTCTAGGTAGTGTAAGTTTTTAAAAGTTATTCCCCAATCTTTTTATCATGTTTATATTCAAACTTTTCAAGCATTGATTTCTGCCTTTTTCTGTGCCCTGGTTAGCGATGTGGTTCATGGGCCTCTTGATTTTTTTTTTTATAGCTGATGCAATGCTCTTCCAACTTCATCCTTAATAGAAAATCCTCTGCTCTCAAGTCATTTTTGCGTCACAAAGTATTGTGGATCTTGTGTTCAGTTCTTGAAGAATTGTAAAAAACCTTTGTACATGTAGATTTAACAAGAGTTTGTTGAAGGAAGGGTTTACCAATACAGTATGATATTCCTTTACTCTCTCTCTCTCTCTCTCATGTTTGACACCTAACTTAATTAGGCTACCTTGTTAGAAAAATTAGAGGCCAAATACTAAGTTATGCTAGTATACGGTAAAACATTTTTCCGTAAATGTCCTAAGTAAATTGAAAACCTTAAAAAAAGGTACGAAATTTCTTGATATTACATATACATGGAATTTAGGAGGAAATTAAATATTTTGGGGAAATAGATATCTATTTTGGTTGTTAGTTTGAGGAGATGGGGTGATAATGAATTACGATGTATACGGTTACCACGTTATAGTAAAACCACGCTGATATCAGTTCAACTTCTGCATCCTATCACACTAGTTCAGACCTCAATGATTAAGACAGGACGAAGTTGGTCAGTCACTGAAAAATTATTTTAAGCACAGACGACAGTCAAATTTCTGGACACATATAAAATTGGCGTGCGTTACAAAAACGATAATATGACTATATAAAATTACCAAGTTGTCACAAAAACCTTGTGTGCATGATGCAGAAGTGAGTTATCCCTCTTTCTGCCGAGGAAAATCAAAATGGTTCGAAACGATCTCGACAAGAAGATTTGGTACTTTGCTCTTTTAATTTCGGGTATCATATGCTTTATATCTGAAACAGAAGTCTCGAAGGGCAGGACCGTAGCATCGATTTTGAAAGTGGGGGGCCAGCCACTGAATTTTTTTTTTTAAAGGGGGGCAAACTTTTTTCACTACCTATTCCTTTCGATATCCAGCGTTTACACTTTTATAAAGAATTTTTTTTTTTACTTTTACAAAATCAATGAAAAAGTTGACAAGCAAAAAAAAAAAAATTATTTTTTGCAATATTAATCCCAAAGAAAAATTTTTAAACATCATTTTGCCTATTATTTGTGTTAAAGCAAAATTATTTCAAATAATTGAATGAAAATCCTATTTCGGGGGGGGGGGGGGGGGACAGAGGAAATTCTTTTTTCACTACCAATTCCTCTCGATATCCATGTAATATTTCATGTCTAGTAATATTTTGTGTGTATAGAAAAAATTGGTCAAGCTTACAATACTATATTTTTTTGGTCCTTCATATTACTTTCCTTTAGTATAAAGTGGGTGGCCAACCAGCCTTTCAATGAACATTTTCAATAGTAAAAGTATTATTGGCAAAAAAAGTGGGGGGAGGGCAGGCCCCCCTGCCCCCCCCCCCCCGGTTGCTACGTCCCTGAAGGGCATGAAGAGCAATATTTAAGGGGTATTTTATGCGTTTAGGTTCATAACCTAGGTTTGCATCTGTCTAGACTAACTGCCAATGTCCTCTCTGATATTTTTGTCTCTCGCTTTCGGGAAAGTAATGGGTAATTCATAGGCGTCGAAAGCAAATTGAAAGTGGGAAGTGGGGGGGGGGGAGGCTAATTGAAAGGGGGGCTAAACCAACAACAAAAGGTGGAATCCAATTTTCAATACCTGTATTACGTATATATTTGCGGAAAAAGTGGGGGGGGGGGTAGCTATCCCAGTTTCGACGCCTATGTAACTAAATCGTATTCGTCTGCCGGTCTGTCTTAAAAACCTTTATTCTTTGACCTCAAGACCAGGATCTTGATGCAGTTTTGAGAAGTTTAATCTTGACCGTAACTTAAGGTATATATTTCAAAAAATGGATACCGCTATATATTTTTGTATGATGAACAGACAAGACAGGGTATACAAACAAGACAACTACAATAAGCCGTCATGTGATATTTAAGTGCATCTTAACCACTAAGAAACGAAAGTGGGGGACCATAATCATTTGAATTTGCTAGTGCATGTATGTATTTTTTTGTTTTTCAATATTATTGTTGTAATGTTACATACAATACTGCGTGTGTCGCGAAATACACGAGTTGGATTTAAATAAGAAATCCTGCAATGTAAACTTAAGATTTTTTTTGTGTGTACTTTTTGTCACAGTTTAATCTGGGTCTTCAAGCCTTCATTCTAACTCAATTGAATTTCATTATTTTCTGTTGCATCTCCTTTTCAGATCAAAAGTTCATAATCACCTGTTGCTTTGCAAGGGGTTAGTTCTATGTTTTGATCTGGGTCATTTTAATTCTTTTATTTAGACTAGCAATATGTTTGATCTTTGATCACACTTATTTCTAACAAAGCATTTAATTTTCTTTTGACGTAGGTGAGAGAAATGGATGGATTGCCACTTATTTTGGATCAAACGAACATTGATGCCCGAAATCCCTGTATCCTTTTTGTATGACATATTACCGACACCTGTATAGGTCTTTTAAAAACAGTACAGTGTATTAGTTTAAAATACAAAAACGAATTTTTATTATATGTGCCTATATTATGTGGGTTTAAAATTTATTTCGACTCTTTCACTAGGCTACATGTAACACAGTTCGTCTATTTATAAGTAATATCTAGCTTAAAAGTATGCGTTATAATTTTATTGCCAAGTGCATGTACTGAGTACTGTAAACCAACATTTATTCGCGTGCGAGAAATTTTCGCGATATTCGCGAGAGCCTCGTCATCGTTAATATTCTTGCCGCGAACCGATCATAAAGTCTCTGTTGTATTAACAACAGATCCCAAAAAAGACTTGCTCGCCAAAATTAATCGTTGCGAACTAATCTTATTTCGGTGAATCGGCGAATTTGCACTGTTTTCGAACCATCAAATCATACCAAATACTCCACTGAGACTTCTCTTTATATTATGCAACTTGAAATTGCTGTAGATTGAAAATATTGTTTTTGTTCTTCAAACCTTACAAGTTGGTTTTGGTATACCATGTATACCTTGTGGTATTCGAAATTTGCAGAAATATTTTGCAAATGAACATCTTCACTTTTACAGGTAGAGAAATTCGTCAACAGATTGATGAGTCACACTCAATCACAAGCACCGTTTCTCTTTTTATAGAACAAGTAAATTATTATGAAATTAAAGTTCTTTCGCACTGCAGAAAATAAACACTTTAATTGACATTATTTTTTAAAAAATATACCCTTTGTGTTTTATCTGCTCTATCAGTGTTGTCAAAGGTCAAACTAAGTCAACAATTCCTACTTTCTCTTTTAACTTCTAGTGTTTCTTTGTCTGTCTATACCTTTGGTTAACCAATACAAGCTTTGACTTCCATCCACTCAATGAAATTTTACTCTAAGTCATAGATTGTCACATTTCTAATTAACCACCATAGAAGAACATGTATATTCCAGTATGTATAAGAAAAAGGACACTCCAAAAAGAACACGAAAGTCTCTTAACTAGTTCTCTAGATATTTCTCAGTGGGCGATACTGGCCATCCACAATTTGTGTGAAAATAACCCAGACAATCAGAAAGTGTTGTCAGACCTTAAAATACAGGGTGTCTGTGACAAATCGGCCGTGGTAGAGGAGTTAGGAATCGAGGTGGAACTAAAAGACGGGAAAGTGTCCGTGAAACCCAAAACACAGGATAGGTGATCGACAATTGGACCGAGCATACTGTGATAAAATACGCAGCTATTCATTGTTAACTGTCTTCATGTTATAATTAAGTGTTTTATGAAAACGTTTTCAATTGCTTATATACTGTACTGTATGCTGGGTCACTTTCGTCCCGTCTTATTTTCGCCCCTTTAAATTTGCAAACAGTTTTGCACTATTTTTAATTCGCCAAGTCACAGTTCTCTTTTAAAACCGTGTTCTTTGTATTCGCCTCGCTATAAATTCTCCTATCGATTAGTAGGGCGAAAGGGGCAAAAATAAAAAAAAAAGGCGAAAATTTTCCTTTATACAGTACTCTTGGTTTCATTAAATCCATGCAATCATAGATTTTTTCTTCATACTTGTAGTTCATTCCTTTAATAAAACGTGAGATATACAAGAAAAAGCAACCTTCATGTATCTATGCTTTTGCCCGAATTCGTTCAATACAAATGAATCAGCTCTGTTATTAAAAATCATTAAATGTAGTTCAACAACCAGGAAGCTATTGTATACGTTTGTGTCAGTTGTAATATAGATGGGTTTGGTTCCAGTGATAACAGATTTTTTTTCTTAAATCGTTTGTTAATGGTATTCATATACAAGGAATCTTCATTTACAATGAAAACACCAAGCCCTATAGCTATTATAGTGGTTTTGTAGTAATCCAAAGCAATTGCGCTGTTTCATAACCTTGTTCACTTAATCCTGTTAATCCCATATACAATGTTAATTGCGTACGTTCGAAAGATGGCCTTGTGTTTTGTTTTTCCCCAAAGATAGCAATAGTTATTTATGATTGATCAAGCTTCAATCAAATCAGATACGTTTTTTTGCAAGTGTTCTACAACCACCCCAAATTTTACTACATTCTTTTATAAATTTTTAGGTTTAGACTGACTATCTACATTTAAAACCTATCATTTAACCCTAAACTCTAGACAACTCAGTATTGAACAATTGTACGTTTAAGGTCATACGAACCATGTCTTACAAATTTGTACCTATTAACTAGTATAATTTCTCAAATAATGTTGAAAAAATTGTTTTTGAAATTGTGTAGAACATCATTAGGACTCAAACACTCTCTTCTAATTTTGGAACTTTTAAATATCATATGGAATATGTGGAGTTAACGAAGAGTATTTCAGCTCAAAAGTCCATTCAGACAATACAAATCAGCAGCAGAGTAAATATTGACCTCTAAAACTTCAGCGGGGATCAGGTGTCATTGAGGAGTGAGCATCCCCTGCCGATCGGTCACAACTACCGTGTGCTCCTTTACATCTTCGGGATTAGCGGGAAAAATTCGTTGGCAGTTTTGTGTGAAGTGCAATTGTAATGGCCTTACAATAAGTAAGAAAAACGCCAGTCATCATTTTACTTAATGATAGAATGTATTTGCTGACAATGTCATTGTATCGACAATAGAACTTACAAAATGATGACTTGAAACAAGACTGCAGATATTCTTGTTTCGTCGACTTTATTGTCAATAACGGATCTCTTTTAAGAAATTGTTCACATATAAACCATGCTTTTGCGTGTCGAATCAACCAATTTGATAATTACTATATGTATCTACAAATATGCAAATCTACACAATTTCAATAAATTGTCCCCCAAAATTTCACTTCCTGTTTTATCTCTATCGTTCTAAAGATTTTTGACCCTGAAAACTGGTTGTGTTGTCAATTTGATTACATATTAGGGACTAGTTTGTCTACCTTTGTAAATGCACGATTTAAAAATCGAAAGCAAAGTATATTGCTGAAGACCTAGTAACACTGTAATTAAAACTTCAAAAGAACAGTTTCTTCCATGGTATCCAAAATACATTTTAATTTTTGGTTTTTAATATTGTTTTCTTATTATTAAATTACATGATTAACCAAAAATTATAATGAAATCAGATGTCTTCAACAGACTTAGTCCTTTTTCAAAACAAAAAAAAAACGACAAAATTAAGGGTGTTACAATAACTGAGATGTAGTACATGTTATTGTCTTATATTGCTGACTGAATCGTATAGTTCTTTTCATAATTATTTATTTTTTCTGTATTAACAATTTATACATGTTTATGTGGTGCCTTATTTACGCGTACTTTGTAAGGCCTTAAATTACATGTACCGCTATATCTAGACCAATTCAACGTTTAAAATGTTGTTAAAAGTTAAGTATGTTTTAATATCAACAATGTTAAGTTTTTTTGCAAGTCATTTGAATTTTATGATCTAGACTGCTTTGTCAGTTGACGATGGATTTGAAATGAAATGCATTAATTTGGTATTTCATGATATATATGGTTATTATGAATTGTTGCGTTTATGTAAATTATAGAAATTTATGTTACAGTTTATTTTGTACTTAACGGTTGTAGACTGTTTGTCATATCAAGAATTTTTTTTAAAGTGTTTAAAAAATAAACGAGACGTTAATTTATAAAACATATAATAATTATGCATGTTTATGTAATGTTAGAGTTACATAAAGTGTTTTTTTTTTTTTTAAGAGAACACACGTATATCTTAATCTAAGTGTCTGAGATATTCATCGAGACTAAAAATTGGGACTGAAGTTACCAAAGTGAAAGATTGTAACGATCAAAGGAGCAAGTGTGATCCGTTTTAATCATAAAAAGTGTCATTTTGTTCCCATTTGAAATTGTAAATGTCATAATTCCTTAAAATATCATTAAAGCAGAAAATGCCAAGGTGGTAAACTCACTTTTCTAATGCCTGGTGGGATTTAAAATTAGACCAAAGGAACCAAAATGAATTTGAACTACCATATCTATACTGGATTCCGAAACTTCACAAAAATCCCTACAAAGATACATAGCAGCCCCGGGTTACGGTAAATGCCCATGCAAGCTTCTTTCTTTACTCCTCACTAAGATATTAACAGTAATGAATGAGAAACTTCAAGAGAACTGTGCAACAATAAATTCGAGAAGTGGTGTTTATCACTTGTGTATACTTAAAAATTCCAAGGAACTTTTGGACATTAGAAATTACAAGAATTTACCAAAATCAACAGCTTAAAACTTGCGACTTTTCACTTTATACACAACCATTCCCCACGATAAATTAAAGTCCAGGGTTTTTGATATCATTGATATCATTGACAGCTGCTTTTTTAATAAAAATGGAAATCGAAAATTTAATTACCTTGTAATTGGTCATTTGCGAAATTATTTTGTTAAAAAAACATTCTGATTGTACACACAAGTACTCTGAAGTTGACATCAAAAAGATGCTTGAGTTTCTGATTGACAATATCTACTAGTGCTAGTATGTGGTTTGTGGAGACCAGTTCTAACAACAATCTACTGGAATTCCCATTGGTACCAATTGTGCTCCATTATTAGCAGACCTATCTTGTATTCATATGAATCAAAATTTGTCCAAAATCTTACACGAGAAAAGAAGAAAACATTGTTGTGGCCGTCAACTCGACATTTAGAGACATCGAAGACTTATTGTCAATTAACAATCATTTATGGTAATACTCATTTTTATGTCGAAACGATACATGTATATCCCGATTAGCTTGAGGTAAAAGATACCACAGAGTCTGACACACCTGTTTCATATTTGGATATTTTACTTGAAAAAGATGTTAAGGGTAATCTAACAACCAAGCTCTGTGATAAACGTGATGACTTTAACTTTACAATCGTCAGCTTCCCTTATGTACTAATAAACTTTCATCACCCGCATATGGAATTTATATCTCTCAGTTGATTTGATACGCAAGAACGTTCTACGTATATACATTTTCTAAAAACGAGGTAAATTATTGATAAACAAATTGATGAGACAAAAATATCAGCAGTCTCGTTTAAAGTCATCATTTCGAAAGTTCTATGGTCGATACAATTGTCAGCAATTATAGTTTATCATTGAGTCAAATGCTGACTGACGTTTTTCATACCGATTGTTAGTCCATTATTTATACACATTGAATTGACGACGGATTTTCCCGTTATCTCCCGAGCATGAAAAGGAGCACACGGAGGGTGTGACCGGTTGGCATGAGATGCTCACTCCTCCATGGCACCTGATCTCACCTGATGTTTTGGAGGTCCATGTTTGCTCTGGTCCTATTTTTATTATTGTTTTATGGACTTTTGATCTTAAATACTGTTCATTATCTCCATATGTTTGATTATAGAGTTAAATTAATGAAAAACATTTATGACTTTAACAATAATTTAATTGTCAGATTAAATTAGACCCACTCGAAGTTACATTTAGTGGTTAACGTTGTATTTGTTAAGATGTGAATAGTTTTAATATTGATCAATAGCATGCGTTTCATAAAGAAATCACATACATATACTAGTATTCAATTTTAAAAAATAAAAAAAATATAATTAATGTCTTCAAATAAGAATCAGACGAAATGAATAACGAACAGTATTCGAGCTAGTAAGATGAGCTAGAGGAATTAATAATATATGAAAAATAAAAGTGATTGTAAGAGACAAAGTTCTTTTATCAATATGTTTTCGTAAATGTCCGTATTTCAATTAATAGTAAATGGATATTAAGTTTTAATTAATTGCACACAGTTACATGAAAAATTATAAAAGCAGCACTTTGAATGTAAAATTTCCAAGAAAAATTGAATTAAATGCAATATTATTGAATTATCTATATTTCTTATTTCTGTATTACGCCGTGCTTCTGAACTGTACCGAAGAACCCTCTAAGTACATGTATCATAATTAAGCATACTGTGCATGGTTATTTAAACCATTTTGAAGTGTTTCACCCGCTGTGTTATTGTGCTGCATTTAGATTTTATTCTTTTTTCGTCTGTAAAAAGATTTGACGATCTAAAGTATTTAAATACTATGTATTTACTACGTCATACCTATCTATATTCATCGACACCGAATCGATGTCACCAATGACGTACTTCAGGTTTTTTTGTGTTTTTGTGGTCTTTAGAATGTTTAAGTAATTTTCAGATATTGCTATTTTCTTTCAAAATTTGAAACTAACAGGACTATGGTACACGATAGAATATATTCATCTGAAACGGATAACTCAAGTGTTTCTTATATTGTAAGATCTATTTGCAATTAATTAAAAAAAAATAACGTGGAATTTTGATACATGTATAAACTAGTATATTATAGCTAATGCGAAATGTTACAGTTTCATCTATCTGCTTTGCGAGAAGAAATATGATTCACAAATACCAATGTACCTACAACGATTCGTAGGGATTAATTCTGGTGGAATTATGGAGACGGTTTGAGACAAAATTTACACCTTGGACAATGAAAGTTAGATCATATGCTGTTGTTGAATATAATGTTTCTAAACGAATGCATGCTTTGACTGCGGTAGTTCTTTGCATTGTTTTGTTGAATTTGGACAATCTTTCATTCCAGATGTTAAAAATGTGTAATGAAATGTTTAAAAATTGCATGTTACTATTATCAAATAAGAAGACACTTGCTGTGTCCTTTTACTCGACATTTAGGTATATCGATGACGTTTTATCAACGAGATACTTTTAAATTCGTTCATATCTCTATAGATCCCCATGAGCTTGGAATAAAATATAAGGAAGACTCACAGATCGGTTTCATATTTATATATTTTACTAGGAAAGGAAACATAACAGCAAGCCATTATGATAAACGTTACTTCAACTTTCTGATCTCCAACTTCTCTTTCTTCTGTAGTAGTTCCGCCATATCACCTTAGTATGAAAATGTTGTCTCTCTGTTAAACAATGCAAGATATTGACAAACAAGTTGATGAATTAAGAATACCAATAGTTTCGTTTAAAATCATCAATTTGAAAGTGTTATGGTGGAGTCACTGAATTTGTCAGCAAATATAATCGATCATTAAATTTTATTCTGACTGACGCTTTTTGTAATAATTGTAAGGCCATTTTTTTACACACTGATTTGTTAACGACTTTTCCCCTTTTTTCCCGATCTTACAAGGGGCACACAGCGGGGGATGAATACACCTCTATGGTACCTTATCCCACCTTTGATGTATTAGGAGTTCGCGATTGCTTTGCTTCTGATTTGCATTTTTGAAATGGACTACATATTATGGGTTTGAATACTGTTCATTTTCTCCGTATTTCATACAATGTTATGTTTATTTCAATTTGCTAAAACTCTAGTTTGTTTGATCTCTGCGACATTTTCAATTTACCTAACTTTATATCGAGAATTTGTGCTGAGTACTGGGAAATATATACTTACTCTTGTAGAAACTTTGTGGGTTTTTTTATATAAATGTTATTGAGTCCTTGAGTTTTGAGTGTAATTTATCGCCAGTGTCGACATCAGATTAAAAATTCTTTAAAAAAAAAAACTTAAACGGAATCGAATGCATTTTCTTTTTCAGTTGCTAAAATGGATAGACATAGATCATTTTTATATTATTCAGGCTCGCTTTGATCTGCATGTAAATACAATTATAGAAACAAATTGTACCCCAATGATCCCATGTAAGTTTTGACACTTGTTCAAATATAATTACATATAGAAATAAAGCTATAAATTGTAAGATGTTATTCAAACAAGATATCATCTTTAATAACGTGATCAAAAATTCAACAATGTTTCTATTGTAATGGAAATATTATGGCATCATTACCATAAAAAGTAGACTTAAATTTTGACGGTTCATTTGCTTTGAAATCTTTATCATCTAAAGAAAATATTATTAAACATGCATGTTTTTTTCACTCCGATATAAGTTACTATTCATTCAAAGGTATTTTTTCCTCCTTTCACCATGTTCACCAGACAACTAAACACGATTAATAAAACGCATTAATATGTTCACTAACTGAATGATTCAAAATGTAGTTGAAACTAAAACACATTGTAAATTGTAGAATAAAGACAATGTACACTTCCTAAATTTCACTAAAGTAACTTATTATGGTTTATATAAATGAAATAGATTATACGATAAATAAATAATGCTGGGTTTTTTTGTTAGGTTCTTCACTTTAATCGTACATTAAAGGTACCTTGATTAACAATTATAATTATGCAAATCTAAATTCATCTTGTACTTTAAGTCCCTTTTCTAAGAAAGAAATGCTTCAAAATCATATACCAGTGTTAAATATGCTATACATTTTTAACTTGAATAACCTATTTGTACTTGTTTCCTTAATTACTTAAATGCATAAGGAATTCTAGCAAAATTATTTTACTTCTCGTTTATATATTTATAAATATATAACGAGCAGTGGAGGTGAAACTTCAGATTTAATGTACAGCAATATATTTCAGAAGTTGTACCTGTGTTAAACAGATGTGGATATTCAAAACTTAGAGGAACTTTTGAAAATTTGAAATCCTAAATGTTTACTAAAAATCAAAAACAAGAAATTTTCAACACTTATTGCAACTTTTCTACAAATAGA